TGACAAAGCTGAGTTCGTTTACTCGCGCAGTTTCTTTATAGACGACGATAACATTGATCGATCATGATCAACACCGACGATAACACTGATCGCAACATAACGGTAAAAAACACCTACAGGAAACAATGTCACACGTCAACTGTTGGCACTGAGGCAAAGGGAAGATCTTTCCGATTTCCCGAATTCAGAGCCGAATAAGAATCACAATTGTGAGTTACGACTGAGCAAATTAACCAGGATCGATTCACCTGAAATCAGCAGTCGTATGCCTTATGTCAGATAGGAGAAAGTGATGTACGTAGCAGCGACGATGTCGGCGTCCTTCAGGTGACCTTCAATCCAGGTGACGTCTGGCTACGCCTGACGTCTGGTGAGGTTACACTGACGTCTGGTGGGGTTTCTGAACAAAGGCCCTGTCATACCTGACGGGTCTCTATGGATTGGAGAGCCGGGATACGACGGGCGACGAGCACATCGTCTCCGTCACAGTGTCTCGTGACGGAGACGATGCTGAGAAAGCAGTGCACCGTATATATCTAAGATGTTCCGTAGTACGGCCCTCGCTAGGACCGATATGCTCGCGATGCGATAGGGCAGGAGTCCCTCTTCGGACAAAGCGTAGGCCCCATTTTACATGACCAGGGGGAAGGAGCGGGATTCTGTCAAGACCGACAGGAGGCACTTGTGGTCGAGAGGGGGCCCAAGTAACATGGCGATCAGTAATGCATACGTTGTAGTTGGTTGCTTGGAACTATATGAGAACTGATATGTACATTTCTTGAATTGTAGACTGCTACATGCTTGCTTGTGTTAACACATCCATTTCCACTGTAGCCCTTTTTTCTCATGTATTGGAGAAGCTGGGCAATGGAACTCCTTCCATGGTCGGTTAAGGTGGATGGGGTGGGGAAGCCATTTTTTCATTATTTCTTTCCAGTCAACGCTCATATGGCCTATGTTGAACCTTGAAAAAGTTGGAGGCCTCAGGCCCCTGGCCTCCCTAGTTCCCGTGCCCTCGTAGAGAGGTGGCTACATTGGAAATCACAACTAACTTTGCCACTGTCAACGCTCCCAGGAAATTGTACATGTTATTGCGAAGTAACTACAGGCGTAACCAATACCATCAAATACGTTAGGAGGTGTACCAGCAGGAGAAGGTGTCCTGTACGATGAAGACCCAACGAATATCGGCCTCCTCACCTTTCAAGTTCCTGATGCCATCGCCGTCTCGCACACTTCCATGCTGTTTCAAAGTGGTGCTATTCGGAACACCACTAATCCCCGAATACATGGATCTACCACGGCAATGTGCAATGGGACCAAGTGCTCCCATCTCTTACAATATTTAATATTACGTCTGCAACCCCACAAAACCGACCGCAACCCTCCCCCTCCCCCCCCCCCCCCCCTCCCTCCCCGGCGAGCTTTGACTCTCGGCGGAGATGCCGCTTTCATGAGCTCCTTGTTTTCACTGATCAGCGGGCAAGTTTGATCAAAGATTTTGCTCCGCGTGGTTCATTTCTCGCGCTGGTATTACGCCGTCGTGTTCCACACACACGGTCCACCCATCATTAATTAGATCCAACCGACTAGGTACCATAAGAGACTAATTCAGTAATGGGTTACTCTGCGAGCGGCTGCAAATTATTTTCCTAACTCCCGGCTTCTGTCTTATTCCGTTGTCCATTTTGCGATCGGGTGGACCGTGGTAGCATGTACCCTTAAATCATTCCGAAAGGGGTCCACTGATAATCGCTCTCAAGTTTGATATGTATCAAATTGCGGTATGCTCAGTTGACCTGTTTGACATCTCTCGTATTAAGACGTGTTTCCTATTTATTGCGCGATAATTCTGCGAAGCTTTGACTTAAGGGGGGACTTATGAGATGTGAGTACCAAACAGTGATACCTTCATTATGACGCATGTTATTCTGCAACGTTATGGCTGAATGCCAAACGTTTAAGTGGCAATTTGGCAGTCATTTGCAGTTTTATATGTTGCAATCTGTTCTGCGGACTTCTTTGGGCCAAAAGAACGGTTCCTTTAACCACATTTGTATGTTCGCTTGAAAATTATAATCTGTTTTGGCCCACTGAACCGCTGCAATGTTCAATGAATAATTTTTCTTATTCTGGCGACATATTCTAAAATACTCCATCAAATCGTTTGGCAAGCGCGAAAAAAAATGACACTTGACCGGGTTGAGACAAAATGGCAAAACAGTGGTGAGATTGGCATCAAACAAATTTTAAGGAATGCATCGGGAGCAGTGGTGCAGATAGAGGGAGGGGCACGGAGGGCATGTGCTCTCCCCAGGAACATATGCTGAATAGGGACAGGGGCGGACCCCAAATGCCAAAGGACCTCTTGCTTTGGTAGGGACGCTCTGACAAAGAAAGGAGATACGATGTGAGCGAACTTATGTTGAGAGTTTACAATGAGACGACAGAAGGGCTCTGGTCAGTCAGGGCCATCAGCACCAAACGGGTCAGGTTAAGTCAGGGCCCCCAGTCCTTCATCCCATCTCAACTAAGGGTCCGTAAAGCCGAACTGGAACCTCTGTGCCAATTATTAGAGCATCTGGGGCGATAAGGGATCTTGTTGCGTCAACGACGGGTCCTGCGTCGCTCTGGGGCCAACTGCCCGGGTCAGAGGGTATGCTGCGTCAGGAAGAGGACCATTGTATGATGTGTTTCTCTAATGATCTCCAGATCGATCAGGAGACCTCTCCTTTGTGTCACCAGAATAACAGTCGGTGGGCATCCCGCGCTGGGACGGAGCAGTACCTCCAGCCCTTGTCCGGGAACGGTAATGTGCCCCCTGGTGCCTACTCACGAGGTTCCTTGCCCGGAAGAACGTAAGGGGTCTGATCAGTTAATAGAATGGATCGAAATGAGGTAAAACACAAAAAAGACCATCACGTTTGCCTGTGAGTGTTCATCCCTTTGCAGAAACGACTTGTGAAGTAATTCACATAAACAGTTTTGGGCCTGCGCGCTCGCAATCTTGCGAACAGCAACAGTAATGGCTTGAGCTGCAGTTTAAGTAAAACCGAACGAAGTTGGCCGCTGTCGACAACACACGGCTGCGGCATTTACTTTGTTTGTTAATTCGTTTCTTTCATCAATTTATTAATTGGACAGGTAAAATATGCCTTCTAAACGTAAGAATTAATGTCCTAAAATGTTCAAAGATCCTTATTTCCGATGCGTTATCATTTTATCTCGCACATTGGCGACGCCGCGCGGCATGTGGAGACTGCAGCGCTTGGTGTCAAAATTGCTGTTTCTAAGGCTCGCGAGCTGCGCATTTTCAGCAATGATCTTATATAATGTTGTCATGTCACATAATTTCATGTAATTTTGTCACAAAATTTCACAGAATTTTGCCAAATGGTTTGTCATATCTATGTCACAAACAATTGTCACTTTTGTTCGCTGATCGGTTCCGACTGAAGGCTAAAAATTCCCAGACGAAGAAAGGTTGGCCATGTTCATGCAAAGTTGTGACCCCATATCGATCCACAATGTACGTTCGCAGGCCCCCAATATATCTGTAGATTCAAGACTTCAATTCATTTGCTTTGAGATAGAAACAGGGCTGCATCTGTGGGTAGCTTCTGGCTTGCGCTCCAGTAAAATAAGTTAAAAATAAAATTAAAACGATGAAAATCGTGCCCCTGGAAAACAAGTGAACATATCAGCGTCTGGAATGGCTCTTGCTAACCTACAAGCATCACAAACATAGACAAGACCAAATGCGCTATATTTGCTAGCCTGCCTTCCGAAACAAACTAAGGCCCTTCTCTGTCTGTTTCCTTGGCATCTCTTTGGCCGGCTGCTGTCATGTCGCTTGACGTTTGGGACCCACTTAGCCTAGTCGTCGCTATATCGAGTCTCTCCAAAACGCAGCAGAATGATGTGCCTGTATCCCGAGAGTGGAACCCGGGTTTCACATAACCTTTTTATAACTGGTATCCGCTGGAGCTAATGAAATTCTATGATTATGTCAGAAAATCTTATATCATTTCGTGGGCAACGAATTCCAGACATAGCATGTAAACAAGCTCCAGCGCCAATGCAAAATATTGCACTCGTAACTGTGATTGGCCATGACGCGTCGTGTCTACCGTCCCAGCTCCTTTCAAAAGAGCTATGCCTTTGTGTTTGTCCATCTCATGTTCTCTTTCTACTCCTGCAACGGCCATATGTGCACGTGGTTTGGCGTGACATATTCAATAGTCATGAAAGGAAACACAATAGCCTTGAACTATTGGTACAGGGGGCTTTAACATATGATTATATTACCCTTACGATACTCAGCGCAGGAGCATTCCCACAACCGCCTTTTCATTTCGAGAAAGTTTGTCGTCCACCTGGTCGTGTATTTACAAACCAAGCACGAAACAGAGCTCATTGGGCGGACCCACAATGTTCAGTCCCGCCTGAGCACGCTGTCACTACTGGTAAGCAGTCCCCGTCCGTGACGCCCCCGATCACTAAGGTAGTTGTCCGGCCTGTTACTGGACGAATCCAACTTCACTGCAGGTCTGGACCGGGCCAGCGGACCGCGGCAGGCCAGCGAAGACCAAAGGGGGTACGTCGCGGGGGCGGGATACCATCGGCGGCATCGGCACGCGTCAGTCCTCCCCGATGTCCGCCGCGCGTCTGACATTCCCCAGGGACAGCGGGCCAGCGAATTTCGCGGCGGAATCCTCCGCCGTTGGAGGCCGTCTGTCAGCGCCGTCAGCCCCAACGATTAAGCACAGATCGACATGAGCGCTGGCCGTTATCAGTCAGCAGCGCATCTCCTAGGGCGTCGCGCATTGTTCCGACATCACCGATGCTCGGCGACCGCCTGGCGGGAGCGCCCCGCCACACCAGCCAACCAGCGGGCGGACAGGCGCCGCAGGGGCGCTTCGGGACCCGGCGGGAGCGCCCCGCCACACCAGCCGGCCAGCGGGTGGGCGGGCGCCGCAGGGGCGCAGCAGGGCCCGGCGGCGACGCCAGCGGAGGCCCCCTCAGAAGCGCACCGAGAAGCTGCTGAAGTCCTGCGCGTTCATGTAGATGGTGTTGGAGAGGTCGCAGCGCTCGGGCTTGGAGCCCGGGCTGCCCGTCCTCGTCATCCACTCGACTCTGTTGGCGGAACGAACACGCTGTGATGGGGACCTCCGGATCAATTGCCGAGGCGGAACTAAGCTGCAGCGGTGCGATAGCTTAGGTATTTGTTACACGGATGATCTTCTGTTGGCGTTGGGCGATTAGCACGGGCGTTATTTCTAGTGATGATTATGGACTGTACTGGAGCCTAAAGCAAGATTTGGCAACCGTCAGTTTTCAATAATAAATGAACACGAACAGGCTGTTCGTGAGCAGGGTGTGTTCGCAAACAGCTAGCGGGCCGGCGACAAGAGCGCAAACGAACACAAACGAATACAACCTCAACAGTGAGACACTCGAAGAGACCATCACTCAAGGAGACACTCAAGAGACTACCTCTTTCCCACCCCGCATGCGTGTCTTACGGCATATCCTAACTATCTGGGCGACACATAGGACTTAATCACAGTTACTATCATCCCCCTGGCATTTTACATGTGCATGTGTGAACTGCATTGTTTTATGCAACAATGTCAAAAATATGTTAGCAAGCTGTTCACGACATGACCATGTTTGCGAGCATATGATCGAACGGCAGCAATTTAGCAAACGAACACAAACACAAATGGAACTCATGATTTCATAGGTCTGGGAGGCAGTTATCAATCTTTAGCATGCCAGGATAAACAGATTAAACGACGTTATCAAGAAAACGTCGGTTAATTTTTTTATTCTCCATGTTTCGATACCTTGCGCATGCTGTCCATCGTCACTGGTAGATACGGTTAAACAAAGAATTACATTTAAAAACAAGACGTTTGAATCCAGAAAGTGCTCCAACTCTGCGTAAACGCCGCCACCAAAAATGTCCAAATGATCGATAACAAGAGCGTCCACATCCCAGCATATGATGCACAGTATTTTGCCAAGAGCTGCACGATATACAGGTGGCTATGCCGGAAGGCTACGTTGATCCATACCAAGAATTAGGTTAAAAAACTCCTTTTCGCGATTAATAGGCACCGAGAACATTGCACAAACCTCACGAACATCACTGGTACTCAGGTTCTCACGTCCCAGCACCTATTACACGATACTGCTAGGGGCTGTCCGAAACTCAGACGGCTACACTGAAAGGTTTCGGTGACCCGTGCGCAAGTATCAGCAGAAATATAAATTTATGAGCGAAAAGTCTGGTCCACACGGCCGTCTGTACCAGCCCCTGGTCCACACTGCCGTCTGTCGCAGCCCCTGGTTTTCTCTGCCGTTCGCCGCAGCCCGTGTCGGGTCACTCAGCTGCCCAAACAGCGCGCGCCGGCTGTTTGACGTGTATGGAACGTGAGCCGCCGCTACAGAGGTCGCTCTGGTCGCACCGCCAGTCAGCCAAGATCCAACACGGCGGCCCCACACTGAGAGCGGTCGCTTCACTCCGGTGTGGGCGTTTTTGGAAGTTCTTGCTCAAAGTCCGATCCAAAGTCCAGGCATGGACCAGCTGGCCGTCCGAAAGTGCTCAAAGAATCAGGTTGGTCGAAAGTTCTCACTTTGATATATCAAATGACTACTATGCACAGCCAATAACCCCAGTCAGTGCTCGCGTCGCTGCATTTTCCACTCGAATCAAATGAAACTAAAAAGATAAGACATAAGTAATAGCCGCATTCCTCGGAGAAGAAAAAAAAAACAGTAAAATCTAGGCATAGATGTGTTGATGTTTCGGCAGCATGCTTTTATCGAAACAATAGCAGAAGATGGAACTTTCTGGACAGCCGATAACCTACTGACACAACTTCCGCCATTGTTTCGATAGAGACATGTTGCCGAAATATCAACGCATCTATCTCTCCATTCTCCCGGTTTCTCCTCCCAGGAATGAAGCTATTACTACTGTCTTACCTACGTGAATAATGTTCCTCGCAAATGCACTTAACGACTTACGGAGAGAAGAAAATGATCGTGGGTGATAGGCATCTGTATTAACTAAGCTGAGATGCGCACCAATTCGCGACATGGCAGGATGATATTGGCTGTTAAAAATCCAAATATTTCTGTCCCCGTCCGTCTAATTAGTACAGCATGTACCGGACCCAGTCCCACTTGCTCAAGGACATGATCCTTTCCATGTCCCTCGCACCAGAGGAGCACGGTCTGCGATATGAGTACCATATGAGGCCTACCAAGACAACAAATATCAACAAATGCAAGAAATGCGTGATAGTCTTATTGTTAAACTACTCGCACGTCTACCACACTCGTCACGCATCATGTCTACCACACGTGTGTTACTTGAAGTGGGGGACAGTGCATCAGCTGACTTTCTGCGCCTGACCTGAATGACCCCAAGGCGTGTTTCTTAGAGCGGTACAGTGCATCAGCTGACTTTCTCCGCCTGATCCAAATGATCTCCAGGCGTGTTTCTTAAAGTGGTACAGTGCATCAGCCGGCTTTCTCCGCCTGATCCTAATGACCTCCAGGCGTGTTTCTTAAAGTGGTACAGTGCATCAGCTGACTTTCTACGCCTGATCCTAATGACCTCCAGGCGTGTTTCTTAGAGCGGTACAGTGCATCGGCTGACTTTCTGCGCCTGATCCTAATGACCTCCAGGCGTGTTTCTTAGAGCGGTACAGTGCATCAGCTGACTTTCTGCGCTTGATTTGAATGACCTCCAGGCGTGTTTCTTAGAGCGATACAGTGCATCAGCTGACTTTCTGCGCCTGATTTGGATGACCTCTAGGCGTGTTTCTTAGAGCGGTACAGTGCATCAGCTGACTTTCTGCGCCTGATTTGGATGACCTCTAGGCGTGTTTCTTAGAGCGGTACAGTGCATCAGCTGACTTTCTGCGCCTGATTTGGATGACCTCCAGGCGTGTTTCTTAGAGCGGTACAGTGCATCAGCTGACTTTCTGCGCTTGATTTGAATGACCTCCAGGCGTGTTTCTTAGAGCGGTACAGTGCATCAGCTGACTTTCTCCGCCTGATCCTAATGACCTCCAGGCGTGTTTCTTAGAGCGGTACAGTGCATCAACTGACTTTCTGCGCTTGATTTGAATGACCTCCAGGCGTGTTTCTTAGAGCGATACAGTGCATCAGCTGACTTTCTGCGCCTGATTTGGATGACCTCCAGGCGTGTTTCTTAGAGCGGTACAGTGCATCAGCTGACTTTCTGCGCCTGATCCTAATGACCTCCAGGCGTGTTTCTTAGAGCGGTACAGTGCATCAGCTGACTTTCTGCGCCTGATCCTAATGACCTCCAGGCGTGTTTCTTAGAGCGGTACAGTGCATCAGCTGACTTTCTGCGCCTGATCCTAATGACCTCCAGGCGTGTTTCTTAGAGCGATACAGTGCATCAGCTGACTTTCTGCGCTTGATTTGAATGACCTCCAGACGTGCTGCTGGCAGCCACGGGCGTCAGAGTCTAGACGAGCGCCTAACGGCATTAAGCACCAGCTACCTGGCTATAACTCATCTAATTTTAGATACGCCAGGCTAATTAACGACCTGTGGCCGGATGGTGAGAGCCACCTGGGAACGGTCGTAAGCTGGCGCGGAAGCTGCAGCACAGCTGGGAGGGATCACGCACTGGGGTCGGCCTCATATCGCACGGTTCGATCTTTGATATGGCTGGCTGTGTTAACGTGGCATCCATGTGTCGCAAACGCATGATGTCACACACATTTGCGTTATTCTTTCTTTTATAAATTAAGTCCGACCCTTTCTCATTGGATACACGTCTGGGATCCGAACTCACGCCAGGCAGTGCTTGATGAGGGACATGTGAGCCGCCATCCGAGCCTGAAATTCGAGGTCTACGGCAAAACTTTGCGGCTGAAGTTTAACGGGCCGCAAGGACTAGTACAGTTCCCCAGCCTCCGGCCTCATCGGACCTTGAGCGAACCCCTGCCTGCAGCTACGGGTTTTCCCAGCCAGGGGTAAATAGCGAGCACGTCTAGCGACCCTAACCCAGACCCAGCCGCGGTTAGGTTAGCAGGTAGGCACTCTAACCTATTGAGCTACGAGGACGGACAAATCTTGATCCCTGGTTGCTTTTGTACACCCAGTTCAGTTCACAGACAGACAGGTATGCATGCATTGAGGCCGTCACAACACTGGCACCTCTGATGTACAGATTGCTTTTGTACGCTCAGTTCAGTTCACAGACAGACAGATATGCACCAGCTGGGTCCTGCTCTCCCCCCGGGGCGGTGGACAAGTAGATGATCCTGTTCGGGCTTGATTTGGGGAAAGTGACGCGGTATTCAGAACTTGGTCACCTCTAAGACCTGATGATAGATCCGTCATTGGGTCACAGCTCGGGCTGTGGTCGGTACCTGTTACAGCGGATTGTCAAAGCAATGTGCCCGTTCCGTTGGCCAACTCTCGTTCCCTTCCAAGAGTTCCAAGAGAGCCTGCAATCCTCCATTTACGATCCGTCTGGTCTTGCGACACCGCCATCACAAGGAGGTGCGTGTTTTCCCCCGCGGCGGCGGTCGGCGGCGCCTGCCCGGTCCCCGTGTGTCGGCTGCCAGTGTTGTGACGGTCCGTCACCGACCGCGTCGGCCAGCCGCCGCTGGCGACGATCCACGGAATGTGGCGACGCTGGCGGCCGGCCGACCCGCCGAGTCGGCACCACCGGCCGACCGTTGCTGCCACATCAGGGACGGTGCACAGAGTCGGCACCACCGGCCGACTGCTGCTGCCACATCAGGGACGGTGCATAGAGTCGGCACCACCGGCCGACTGTGGACTGCCACATCAGGGACGGCGCACAGAATCGGCACCACCGGCAGACCACCTCCACCACATCTGATATGTACAGCGACTGCATCACAGACATACTGTTGGTGCACAGGTACGCACACTATCGACACCAGCGGACTATTGGTTCCATTTAGCACCGACCGGCTATTGGTGCCACGTCCGAGATGGGACGCAAAGATGGCGCCACCGGCAGACCGTTGACTCGGTCAGTTTTGCAGGTCAGTTGACTCGGCCGTGCGAAGTTGGTGCGGGGTCGACGACTTCGGTCGACATTAGCCTGGGCGGCCCCGGCCCTCTGGACAATGGAGTGCTGTGGCATGGCCTAGTCAGAAGCCGCGGCCTTCCGCCGATGATACAGTTATGGGCAAAGTGGCGAGCCTGATGAGCCTGGGGATGTGGACTGCGGCGCTAATTCTCAATTCCGAGCTCCCGGCCTCGTCAAATAACTAATCACGGGAGACGAGGGATTCCTGGAAATCCCGAGATTACATCGGGATTATTTACCCCTCGCCAGTCTCGGCTATTTCATCCCGTTTTCTCTCCCTTTCTTTTTTGCAATAAGGTGCGATTCGCTGCCGGGTTCTTCATCCCACTTGCCATGAAAAGTCAAGAACGAGATGGACGGTAGCTCTTTATGTGATCTGCATCTTGCACGCAGGGCATTTCGTCCTCGGTAACGTGTTGGGTTTCTTCCCGTAACTTTTCGAGCGCAGGAACATGGAACTAGCTCAGGTCTAACAATGGCGCAATTTGCCTCCCGAGTTAATGTGAGGACATGCTGGGCCAACCCGTAATCTGTAGAAACCATGGCATTGCCTGCCCTTGCACTTACAACCGTAATGTGCGACGATGACACCGATGGGCTGTAAAAATTTTACCCATACGAATTTTGGTTATTACCAAGGCTTGAACTGAAGTAACCATGACCTTCACAAAACTTTGCGGTGCCAGAGACGCATACCAGCCATTTCAGCGTATGATACGTTGACTAATTTGATGTCAACTCTAATATTTGACCCGATGTGGCATTGAACTCGGATGACTTGACAAACAGCTGGGATATGGAATACACACATTGCACAACCATTCTAGTTAAGCAGCTGCAGATCGAATAGTCAAGACGATACAACTTGTATCGTGCATGGCGTGTAGAGCCAACAATTCGCTGAGGACCACTGATTTTCTACTTTTCCACCGTTACAAAAGAAGTCATACTTCGTTTAACGGGACGAAATATGTAAGTCGATCAGGTTTTGAAAATTTAGGCTTAGCTAGCCAGAATTGCTTTGTGATTTCCCGAAAGGCTCACTAAATACCTCCTCACAAACAAGACTATGTTTCAAAACACCATAGCGGAGAAAAACACTGCGTGGCCGTTCGTGCTGTTCCAATTTTGGGGGAATTAATTCGGTTGCATAAACGCGAATATAGATTAGGTGTGTCAGATTTGAACCGCAAAATTGGTTTTTCAGATGGGTTCTCAAATAACGTTGTCAGCTAACGAATTCCTTGTAATTACTCTATGTCGGTCATCTCAATCATCACCAATAAAGGCATTACCTGTCCATTAACTTTTATGTTATCCATATGAGGATAAAACGTTGGTAAAGTTCATTCCAAGACCGATTGTCTGTTGTAATAAAATCATGAGTTTGCGTGATGCGACGCGACGACCAAAAACGTCCTCCAATTATATCACGCCATTCGTGCTACTTAACCGCAACGTAATAAAGTCGATTGGTTTGAGTGTACAAAAAATATGTTTTGTGATTGTGAGTCCGCGTGCGGATTGTCACAGCTACCATTGCTGTGAGTCGACGTTGCTTACAGCTGTGACTGGCTTCTTAAACGTCACATTCCAGAGAAATGTTTCAATATTAACCGAGATCATTTACTTCCTTATTGCACGCTTTTGGCGCCACGCGTTCCGTTACCGCTGTCATGTACGCACGGTGGAAACGTACTCTTCGACAGTGCAACCGTAGCAGACATTTTTTCCGATTTCCTCAGAGAGGGTAGAGAAACCCGACCCTGCAGTCACATGGGTCGTCGCCTTTGCTAAATTATCGTGAAGAGAGTGCAGCGTTTCTATAGACCGTGTTCGAACGTTGCGCGCAGTTTTCCGTACTGCCTGTTGCGAAGCGGGCTGTTTGTTTGCACGGATGGTATCACCGGGCCCAGCTCATAGTGTGCACCAATAAATAACTAGCTGCTGCTGCATAGTGGAACCACCGTCCATCGGAGATTAGTGTTACTGTAACATTTGGTTGACTCTTCCCATATCTATGTTTGTACAGATTCGTCCCGGAAAGTAACACAACTGCCTTCGTCGTAATGCTGCTTCAGTCAAAATATTGCGCAAATGATTTTTTTTTCTTTCTTGAAACTGCGGCCCTGGAATTGGAGCAATGTAACCTGGGGAATCAATAGTTATTTCATTCCCGGACCCTTGTATTCCAATCCCTGCACTGGCTCTCTACCTGCGACGGTGTGCTCTGACACAGCTCAGACAGAGGCTGCCTGGGCTCCTGAGACCTGGAACGCCAGTTTCTGGATAAATTGATGCGTAGCTGTCATGGCAAGATGCATTGTGTGCCGCTCTTTGATCGCATGCAGCGAACACTCGCAGCCTTCTTCGACGAAGTGTCATGAAGTATCTTATGTATGATCGCAGGTGATTGATCGCATTCTGAGGTCGTGCGAATGGCCGTTGCCCTGGTGGCATCGGCTGCAACTTAACTCACGTGTGCCCGAATTCCATAGCCATTCGCCGACCCTCATGCATGGTCGGTGCACAAACCCACGTATAACTTTTGGTAGATGTTATGTGAATGATGTTCTTACTGTCTTACTCTGGCAGTAGCCGCATTAAGTCGGTACACCACTGATTGCTCCGTTTTCTTATCATTGGTGTTGTTACGCTGATTTACATCAGCAATCGTGGCAACACATCACGATTTTCCATTCCTTTGCATCACCTAATTAGCTTGTATGTGCATTGCCGGTGGCTGCGCTCAATTGAGATCAAGTGGAGACAAAAAGCGGGAGACGCTTTCAAAGTCGGTGATTTTTATATCACCATGCATCACCATAAAGGTTTAACGCATAACTTTTACGGAGAGTGGGTGGCTTTTGGCCCAGCCGGATTCCTGCCCTCACGCCTGACCGTGCCGGTAGGCGCCCTCATGCACCGCTTCCCAATGCATCCATTTATCTTGTGCCTTCGCTAATCCCTGCGGGCGCTGAGTCTTCCTCCGCCGGGGGCTGGGCGACAAGACCGGTGGAGCAGCCCGCGCCGCGGGGCGGTCGGTGCCGGCAGAGCAGCCCACGCCGCGGGGTGGCCGGTCCCGGCGGAGCAGCCCACGTCGCGGGGCGGGAGGTGCCAGCAGAGCAGCCCACGCCGCGGGGCGATCGGTGCCGGCGGAGCAGCCCGCGCCGCGGGGCGGTCAGTGCCGGCAGAGCAGCCCGCGCCGCGAGGCGACAAGACCGGGCAGAGCAGCCCGCGCCGCGAGGCGACAAGACCGGTGGAGCAGCCCGCGCCGCGGGGCGGTCAGTGCCGGCAGAGCAGCCCACGCCGCGGGGTGGCCGGTCCCGGCGGAGCAGCCCACGCCGCGGAGCGGGAGGTGCCAGCAAGCAGCCATGCGCGGGGCGATCGTGCCGCGGGCAGCCCGCGCTGCGGGGCGGTCAGTGCCGGCAGAGCAGCCCGCGCCACGGGGCGGTCGGTGCCGGCTGAGCAGCCCGCGCCGCGGGGCGGTCGGTGCCGGCAGAGCAGCCCGCGCCGCGAGGCGACAAGACCGGGCAGAGCAGCCCGCGCCGCGGGGCGGTCGGCGCCGGCAGAGCAGCCCGCGCCGCGGGGCGACCGATGCCGGCAGAGGGGACCGCGCCGCAGGGCGGTCGGTGCTGGCAGAGGGGGCGGTCGGTGCCGGCAGAGCGGGCCATGGCTGAGAGAGCCGCCGAGATGTGCGGCACGGCCGGACGCGGCGACCGCGGTAATAGCTCACCGGCTGCTGTCCTGATCAATGTCGGCAGCCGGCGGCCCGCCAGCGCCGCTCTGTGACTGCGCGTGATGGGTGTGTGAGACGAAGCGCGACTATCCGTCATCGAATTGGGGGCGGTTTCCAGTCCTGTCCACTAAATGATTAGTTCCCTCAGACTGTGAGCGACTACGCCAGTTCGTGGCTGGCCACTGTCCACGTCGGACGTATGGGCACACAAATGACATTCAGGAGAAATGATGCGCTACGCTAAAACACACGAAAGAGCAGATGTCTATACAGTTCCCATTTGATGGTAGTCTTCCGAACCTGCGTCGGAGCAGACCCCTGTAAAAAGAGCTCTAGATCTAAACAGGCGACGAGAAAGCAAGAGGCAGGCTTCTTCATGGCTCATTCTGTTGTGAACCTGGCACGCCTGGTTTTTGGAGACAATTTGGTCGAAAATTTGGCAGCAGTACATGGAATCCCAAGAATAACCCTATGAAAAATTCTGTAATTTGCCCCATATAATACCTCTTAGACTCACTGGGCAGCTAAAAGACACGTCTTTGTCAATATTTCAACATGTGGAGCGATGCCTTGATACGGCCGACCCCGTTTCAGCCTGCCTTTTCTTGGCAGCTGTCCGTCGATAAGCATAAGCGGCGACTGTGGTCAAAGAACCCGCATGGCTGCCATAAATTGGTCGGGGCCCGACACCACCACTCAGCTGCAGGCGGTCACGAACGGCGCTTTCTGTGGGCGGATATGGACGGAGCATATCAATATCGTACGACGTTAAGCCAATGAAATAGTAAAGCAGACGAGTGCGTTGCGTTGGCGTTCCAGCGGGGTCGCGCACCACGCGGCGGCGCCCAGCGCTGGGGCGCGGCCATTGACCGGGCCGTTCTGCAGTCGTAAAGCGGCCGTGCGTCGGCGATAGGCGCTTCCGGCGCCTGTTAGTGACGGAGACCAGCAGCCAACTTCGGACGGCGGGATGCGATGTTAATCACGGGGCGTCCGTCGGGGGCGTCGGCCCGCCAGCTGGCGCCGCCGTCCGTGCCGACGAGGCCGGCCGCTCGGCCGCCCCTCGGGAGGCGCGGCCGGTCGGCGCGCGACCGCTTACATTTCGTCCACCTGCGTCTTCAGGCCCTGCAGCTTCCCGCAGATGGTGCCCTGCTTGGTGTTCTTCACCCAGCCGGTGACTCCGTGGCTGTCGCACATCTCCTTCAGGTATTTCGGGAAGAAGCAGCCTGAGGATAAACGCTTCTGTTACATGCATTCCTGATCACACCCGCGCTTTGCTGCATTTCTAGCAATGCAGAATGACACCGTCTGGAAACGCAAAATACGAACTAAGATGGTGTTTATGCCGATTTTTTTGCAATGGCCGAGGACCGGAGAGGCGTCACCATGGCAGCTTTGGCAGCACGTGTCCTATCACTCTGAAAACGCAGAAGTTATTCCCTACAACCCCATAGACGCCTGTGACTGTCGAACATGCGTGCACGGTTTCTGATGAAGGGAGAGAACACGCAACATCTCGCACATCACCTTCAACGAACTTACCGCCACGCAACGCCTACGGCACGGTGTAAACGGCTGGCCATACACACTACGCGCGAGTCCCCTCAACATTGATGGGGCCTCTCGTACCGCTAGCGTCACGCCAGAGCCCGCTCGCACGCCGCTTCATATGCTCAACACCCTTCCCACGCTACCTGGCAGCTGTTCCAACGTGACGGAACTTCAAATCTCTGCATGGGGCCATAGGCCTCCAATGTTAAGATACCCAAACACTTATGTCAGATTGCACTTTCGCAATGCGGGACTTTTCGCCCAACGTTACGGCTGCGTGAAATAATAACTCACAATGTTGCAAAGAAAATACCAATTGGACGAATTGTAGTTTATCACTTCATGCATTTCTGAAATGTAGCTATAAAAAATAAGTATACCTCCCTTTAACCGGCGTGCCTGCGAGGACGTATAATTGTTTAGTTCGTCTTACCGCTCGACCTTGTTTGCAGCAAGTCACCTATCGCCTATATATGCCGCGTAGGCCAGTGGTCAGGATTATCGGACAACTTACACTGCAGGAGCCAGCAAAGGGTCGTGATTTTTTTAGGCCCACCGTAGGTAGGTAGCCTAACATATTTTTCCCTCAGGTCGTTGAGATGAGTCAGTAAGTGAATGAGAAGTTAACATTGATCACTTTTGAAAGCTGACGTGTTTCACAACTGGTCCTGCACGCCAGGATATGTGCCTGAACTCTTACTTTATGAACCACCCACCCAGCAATATTTGCAGCCTAGTAAAGTCATGATGTTAATGCAGTGCCTATGTCTGTTAACTTTCGGAACTGTTAAACTATTTATGCCTGTTTAACTTTGGGGAGTGTCTGTTTATTCCTCTCGTATCTGCCTTTTATGGTAGCTGGATTTTCACCAGGCTATGGGAGCGTATGTTTGTTCTATTTAGCTTTGCACCTGTTAAAAGTAGAACACTGCACCGGTACAAAACTACAATTTGTTCACACTGCCTTCCATGAACCATAACAGTCAAAGAGCTCAACGAAGCAATGCATTGCTTGTAATTAGGGCCATGGTGGCTCTTTTCACGCTTACAGAATTAGCCAGGAACCTGACATGGCACCAAATCTCCAATGCACGAGAACTAGGATAAGCAGTTGCGAAACCCTTGGAAGGTCGTCCGGTCTACTAAAGAAGTCGGTAGTTGTATCTACAAAAACGCTTCCGCAACGAACTTTACCGGCTCTCTTGATCGGCCTTGGTGACAAACGATTAAATTAGAGAGAGAGAGAGAGAGAGAGAGAGAGAGAGAGAGAGAGAGAGAGAGAGAGAGAGAGAGAGAGAGAGAGAGAGAGAGAGAGAGAGAGAGAGAGAGAGAGAGAGAGAGAGAGAGAGAGGAGAGAGAGAGAGAGAGAGAGAGAGAGAGAGAGAGAGAGAGAGAGAGAGAGAGGAGAGAGAGAGAGAGAGAGAGAGAGAGAGAGAGAGAGAGAGAGAGAGAGAAGAGAGAGAGAGAGAGAGAGGAGAGAGAGAGAGGAGAGAGAGAGAGAGAGAGAGAGAGAGAGAAGAGAGAGATATAATAAATGTATATATGCATATATATGTATATAGTAGGTAATATATACAGTATATATGCATATATATGTATATAGAGGTATATAGAGGTATATATATATATTCAGTACAATGCAACACTTGCGTGAAAGAGCTAGTGCCTACGGCAGTTGGAAAGATAAAATTGAGAAGCCTTGTTGCACGGACTGACCTAGGTCAGCCAAGGTCCCCACAATAAGAAATACGGCCCGTTGCCTGTGGCCGAGGACATAAACTATTTATGTTACAAGAGCGATTTCGCTGCTAACGATGACACTCGCGCAGAGTTGCATTGTTACGTAAAGTACAAGCTCGAGTAACGGTATACCCGCGACTTAAATGATTCCTCGATCAATACTCAATCATCCTTAAATGCTGCCCTGGAAACATCTACAGAAGAACATTCACTTTCCGCAGCCAGAAAATATCAGTTCCAGTGTGTGATTCATTCCCTAACTGCCGAACTCATTATCGACCGCGTGGGTTGATCAGTGCCATCAGCGGCCTTCAGCAGTGACGACGGGGTCGTCGGGCAGACCTGCACCCAATCAGCGGCTGCGGTTGCCGCCAGCCGAGCCCGCCGGACCGACCGCCAGACCCGGCCGGCCTGGATGGACGGTAACCATCGGGCGGTCCCAGAGAGGCCGGCCCCGGAGCGTTGGACATCGAGCGGTCCCAGACAGACTGACCCCCGAACGATGGCCATCGGACGGTCCCAGAGAGGCCGGCCACGAGCGATGGCCATCGAGCGGTCCCAGCCAGACCAGCCCCGAGTGGTGGCCATCGAGCAGTCCCAGCCAGACCGGCCCCCAGTGATGACCATCGGACGGCCACAGAGAGACCGGCCTCGAGCGATGGCCATCGGACGGGCCGCGTCGGCTGCGATGAAGGAGCGCCTCGCTGCTGTCAGCGCGCGACGCGCCGCCTGAACGCTACGGTCGCCACCCGCCCGCCAACCGCGGCGGGCCGCCAGTGCCCGAGCGAAACGAATCACCGGGAGGAGGGGGAGGGGGCGGGAACGGGAGGCGTCCGCCTCGTCAGGATGCCTGTCAGGCTGTACGCTCAGGTCGCTCGCTCGGGTCGATTAGGATCGGCCGGGGCAAGACGTGGTCAGCTGAGGTCGATTGCTATTAACGGCTGCGGCGCGCCGGCTGCCCCACACGTTTCGCACGCGCGCGGTTATGTGGTGACCTTTCCGGAGTTTGGAGTGCTCACGCCTTGGGCGAGTTTGGCGGCGGTGAGAGGTCACGGCAGACACAGGCCGGTCGGATGACCCGCGGTCGCGCCGCCAACGGGGGGGACCGTTCTAGAGTAGCAGGGTGCACGACCCACGGCCGCCACATGTGTGAGTGGTCTGGAGCGGGACCTCGTCTGCGTGGGAACGGGGGGAGGGGAGAGGCATGGGGCGCACATGATGGGAGCTGCCGGCAAACAGAGCTGTGAGGTGCGCGCGAATGCGACCAGTGTTACTCGGAGGGATCACTTGTGTTTATCGCGAGGTGAAAAGCAGCAGTGACGTTCAGATTGCCTGGAGCCAAGAAATAGGGGCGAGCATGATCTCCTAATTTTAAATTTTTGGTGCATTTCGGCGAAATCTTTTTCGGAATCCAATTCTTCCAAAAATTACCATCAGAGATACAGTTTTATATAATATGTTGGTGAGCTAAGCCTTCACCTAAACTATGCCCAAAACAGGTTTTCCCGGATTCGGCTAACTTCCATGTCAGAGTTGGGTGGGGGTGGGGGGTTGAGTGAAAACCCCGTTACCACACAATACCCGGTAAGTATTGAAAACAACAGGGATCCCGTCCCTCCTCCAGCCAAACTCGTTCCTGCGCCTGTGAAATTTCCCATTGTACTGAATTTCGAAGTCTATATTTAGTGGAAGCGTTCGACGACACCATCGACTAGAGAACCAGAAACACAGGCCTGTAACACGATATGCTTCAGTTTTGGCCTAAGCTTAGCAGTCATGTCACAGTAGTGTGCTTGCTGCAAGGCATGCTCCTTTACTTCATATGATGCTTTTGTTGAACACCTGTCTGTATTTCGGCGATGATACCTCCAATCAGATGATAAAGTCAGGATGACGCTGACTGGCCAGTGACTTTTCATTCAGGCCTTGTACTCCTGTCTGCCCCCCCCCCCCCCCCCCTGTGTGTTGGCTTGATGAGCGTAGTATTGTACCATTCATTTTGGTCACCATTTCCTCGACATCTCGCGTGTTTATGGCACCAGCGCAACTGTTCTTAACGCGATCGATTACACATTTAGCAGGACTAACTGGAAGGAACGGGAAGTGGTAGACAACCATGTAATTCCGTCAGCACGGTACGTCAGAAAGAGCTCGCACATCCTCTCGGCTTTCTACCGTGTTTACCTAAAGCACCTCCGTCCAGGGAATTGACACCGCAGCGTGTTGACGGAATACGGCCTGCTGTGGAGTGGAGCGGCGGTGCCCGTGGGCCGGGCGGTAGAAGGTCGATAGACGGGCGTGCCCGGCGGGGCGGCGCCGGCTCCGGCCCGGCCCACGTACCCGGCCTCGCCGACACGCGGCGGGTGACCGCGGGGACGCCCGGACGCCATCGTCTCCGCCGCCGGAGGTCGCGCCGATGATCGCTCCATCGGCCCGGACTCCCGGAGGGCGACGCCGGCCGCGGCCGTTATTGACGCAGTAACGGCATCGGTCGTCTGGTGTTGATTGATGACATTCATCACCGGAAATTGCGCGGCAATGATTTCCACCGTTATACCGATTTTCATTACGGAACACTTATTTATCCACCATGCTTCCGATCAGAGCATTCATAGCGTGCAGAGGTAGACTAAGGTCACTCGTAGGGTAGCCAGCTAGAAACGTACATTTTTATAAGGTTTGCTACCTCCAAATCCATCTGGCCACCGTGCCTATGTCTCTTGAATTGTGTCCACTATTGAACAAAAACTTGTGACGTGTTTTGCGTGAAAATGTGCTCCCAAAATACATGCACACTGGTAACACATACACGCCCCTAATTCATTACGCAAGCACGTGAATATGTGTCAAAATAAACACCCCAGTGAGTTGATCCGGTAAAAGATGGTCGTTTCTACCCTCCAGCCGCGAGAAAACGACTGAGCCGCGACCAACGCTTAGAGACAAAGCCGGCCGAAATGGATGCAAATGGAAGCTGGGCGCTGCCGACCATCCCGTGCTCGGTCTCTGTCGCCGGTGGCCGTTTGGCTCCTGCGGCGAGCACCGTTCGCAGCTGGCACGCGGCCAGGGCGCGCTGCCGACCCGCCGCTGACCCGGCGGCGGCGGCGGCGGCGCCGGCCACAGCGGCCGGCCCGCCGCCGTCGGACGCGCACTCGGACGGGTGAGCGACGAGGGTTTCAGCCTGAAGACGCCTGACGCCTGACGCCTGACGCCTGTGTGCGCGCCGCCCTCTCACCGCAGGCGGGGGAAATAGATGGCAGCCGGCGGACCGCCTGGGGCGAGCGGCCCCAGCTCGCCGGCGTACAATAGGCCCGAGTTTCCGGCCGGCCCGGGGAAGACCGATCCGTTGCGACCAGCTGTGCTCGTTTGGGTCCCCAGCGACAGCGGTGACCGACAGCCCAGCTGCGAGCTGCGGTCACAAGCCCGTCCGGTCACTGGTCTGCCGAGCTGACGCCGGCTCCGACGGAGCGGCGGTCACCACCTGCGGTCTGGCTCGGTCTGTCGGTCTGGTGATCACGGTGGGGAACGGCCCGGCTGCCCGGCCGCCGGTGGCGGGGTGGGCAGCGGCCGCCGGTGCCAGGGTGGACAGCAGCCGTCAGTGCCGGGGTGGGCGGCGGCCGCCGGTACCGGGGTGGGCAGCGACCGCTGGTGGCGGGGTGGGCAGCGGCCGCAGTGCCAGGGTGGGCAGCGGCCGCCAGTGCCGGGATGGGCAGTGGCCGTCAGTGCCAGGGTGGGCAGCGGCCGTCAGTGCCGGGGTGGACAGCGGCCGCCGGTACCAGGGTGGGAAGGGGCCGCACCGCCGCGGACGGCCGGCCTGACCGATAGCCGGCCGGGCGGAGCGGAGGACGGCCGCAGCCGACAGATGAGACGTGCCTGAGTAGGCCACTGTCGCCCGCAGATGGCCGATGACTGATCAGGCCATGGCGGTCGATCTCCGCCAGCCCGGTCCCATGCATTGTGTGGTGGGGCCGCGCATCTGCAACCTGGACGCCGGCGCGCGGTGACGGAACGAGTGGTCCTGAAGCCTACCCCGTACTGATGTGAGCCCAGGCCAGTGATAATGGTCTGAGCGTCCGGCGGGATGTGCACAGCCCAAACTCTTGCCACACACTGGGCGGGTCTGGCATGGCATGACAGGCATTGCCTCGATGTGAGTCCGAGCCAGATTATTTGCCTAAGTTCCTCATGCAGCCAAACTGTTCTTCAAACGGCATTCATTCCACGTTCTTGACTTTGCTGCTCACCAAACGGACCTTGAATGTTCGCGACAGACATCTTGTAAAAAGTGGGACATCGTTTTTTGAGTTTACACCAGCCCTGGAAAGCTTCTTTGATTTTCACGGGCTTGAAATGTAACACGAATCCCCTGAAGATTTAATCACGTCGCCTATACAGTATAAGCCAATAATGTTGTGTGTGTGATGTGATGTGTGATGCGTGATGGCGTTTTAAAACCTGGTGCGGTGGCGGTCAAAAGTGTTGGGTCAAGACCACATTTTGCACGCATGATTCATCCCGCGGACGCACCTGTTCATGACAGCGTGCTCTGGAAAAACCTTATCGTAATTGTCTACAGCACTGGGGCCCTTCTGTCCAGGTTCACATCCCCCCGTCAGAAGTGTCTGACAGGTACCTGTCAGACACCTGTCAGGCACCTGACAGGTACCTGAGGCCTCCCTCGCGGCTCAGCTGCGCGAGCTGCTCAGCGCCGCTCCTACCTTGCACGTGACCAAACACCTCGAAGTCGACCGAGAGCAGAGGGTCGTCGGAGAGCGTCATGGCTGGCTGGTGGGCCGGGTCACAGGAGGTCACCGGAGGTCAGCGGTCTGAGGTCACCGGAGGTCAGCGCGGCCTGAGGGAACGGCTCTCACGGCCGGCGCCGGCGGGACGCGGGACGCCGAGGCCACTACTGTCGCCGCCGGTCAGCCCGGCCCGGCCCGGTCTTCTCCACCGGACTATTTCGGACCGCTGGTGACGGGGCGGCACCGCCGGCAGTTGGGAGGTCACCGAGGCGGCCGTGCTGCCGCCTTTATGGACTATGCACGCATTGCCAGATTGGACGAACTCAAGGAAAGCTTTGTGTTCAAGTCGGTTAACAGGACCGCTGAGAAAAGCTAAAAGGAAAAGGTTATATTTAGAAAAAAGAAGCTTTTTGTAAATAGTATCAGTTATATTTGATGCTTCACTTAGAGCAGCATAATGTCGCTATAATTGGAGCATCATCGAATATTGCGACAGATTGTGCAGTATGCGAAATACAGTCTGTCTTGTTTGAACCCGACTACAATTATGTGATAACGATGACTCGGGAATTGAAACCTTTTTGCAGGTTATATAGTATATGAAATGGCCACAACCAGCGCACACATTGCACAAAACAATTTCTGCATTCATTCCAAGAATGAAAGAAATTGCCGACAAGCGGGCCCCCCACCCGAACGGCACAGCAAGCAACGCTTATCATGACAGTGTGATGTATTTCAGATGCATGCTACTAATCTGACATTGATCAGCTAGCGGCGATCGGTGGCTTCGTAAACAGTGAATGCACGTAGGGCTGCGGGCTGAGCGCCGCTAGCGAAGCTTTTTTGATCTTTGAGAAAATTATCAGTCTGAGCGAACCAGTTCTGCCCGACTTTTACACCGCGTAACTTGAAAAGAAATAACGTACTTATAACGACAGCTACCAGGTTTCTACAATGATATGCAACAACAAGCGCAATGATAAAAGGCCGTTTTTTGTTAAGTGTTTAACATTTACACCGGGCTTTCCAGCAACATTACGCATCACCACGACTTGACCTTCATTCTTTCAACACGGAAAACGCAACATTCGCAAATTGCGAAAGAGTTGAAAAACAAGGGTTGAAACCGGGTTCAGATCTTAATGCCCTGGCGTCACAGCGACTCAAAGGCGTCACGACGTCATGCTGATAGATGGGAAAACGTAATTCCGCCCCAACGGAATTTGGAACCGTCTAAATTGTCACCTGGAGCCAAATCTCTCAGAAACCGTTGGAAGATATTTTTGATGCGAGAAACCACAAATTAAGTGCTATGCAGCATAACCATAAAATTTCTTCATTTCGGGGGCTCATTTGCATATAAGTGTCACCTGCTGGTTATCAAACGCTGAATGATGGTTGAGGCTAAACTAACTAACAGGTAAAGGCACGCTTAACATAACCAGCCTAATATAACCATATAACAAACATAACCTATAACCGGGGGCGAATCCAGAGGGGGCCACGGGACCATGGTCCCCCTTAGGCCCCGAAGGAGCTCATTGGCTCCAAGGGGGCCCATAGCCGGTCAAATAGGTGCAGTTTTTAACACAAAAAACAAGCATAGACATTTCTGGATTTCTAGACGACCAAGAATAGTTGCAAGCGAAAGTAAAGGGCCCACAAGAAGTCAAAACAATCTTTAATGATTGAAAAAGTTGTGAATTGGGAACTCCAAGCATATTGCGCTGTCTAAGGGCCTTATGCTGTTTCTGGAGGACCTGTATGCCCACTTGCAGGGACATTCCGATCTTTGAGGAGCCTTCCACGTTGCCCTTGAATGCTTTGCATTTGATCGGTGGACCCTACACTGTTGCTGGGCCCTTCCTGCCAGCGTGCCGGGACATCCTTGTCAGTCAAGGGCCCTTCCATGGATGCTTTCCATCCGCCAGAAGTGCTCTGTGAGCTATGGCCGAGGCCCCATATCTTAACCTGCCGGGGTACTCTCGGCTGCTCAGGGGCCATTTACGTGGGTCACGGTCAACCTACCTACACATCTCCGATACGCCCAGGGGCCCTCTACCTTCGTCTAGGTCGCCCCCAGTTTTCTGTCCCTTGCTTAGGGCCCTATGCCCTTCTCTTGCCGGGGCCCATCTGATAGCCTGCTTGGGCACGCTAGGTCGTTCGGGGACTCTCCACACTGGATGTTGTGTACTTCTCATTTGAATGGGAGGGAGGTGGTGCTACGCTCTTGTGGGGGCCTATCTGATAACCTGCTCGGGCACATTCGAACGTTCGGGGCCTTCTTCATTGGGTCTTGGGCACGCCCATTTGAATGGGGGCCCTAGCACTTGCCGGGGGCCCCGTCTGTTCGCCTCCCCGGCCACACCAGACTGTTCGGGGGGGGGGGGGGGGCTGCACATTGGGTCTTGGTGTTTGAATTCAGAGCCCTGCGCTACTATCGCGGTCATTTGACAAGCCTGCTATGCTCTATCATTCGGGGCCCTCCAAACTGGGTTCTGGGATACTTATAATTTGAATGGAAGGTCCTACGGCCTTGTCGGGGCTCCTTCTGAAAAGGCACTTGGGACCCATTCGATCGTTAGGAGACCTCTACATCTGGGTTTGGGTACTTCCTATTTCAATAGAAGGCCCTCCGCTCTTTTCGGGGGCCCTATCTGTTAACCTGCTTTGGCGCACGCGATCATTCGGGGCCCTCTACATCATGTCGTGAGTATCTCATATTTGAACGGAAGGCCCAACGCTCTTGTCGGGGGCCCCATCTTTTATCATACATGGGCACACTCGATTATTCTGGGTCCCTCTCACATTGTGTCCTGGGTACTTCCTTACCTGAATGGAGGGCCCCACGCATTGGGCTCTGGGTACTTTTTATTTGAATGGAGTACCTGCGCTCTTGCCGGGCCCCTTCTGATAAGACACGCGGGCAGATTCCATCGTTCGGGGACATTTGCGCAGGGTCTTGTGTGCTTCATATTTGAATTGAGGGTCCTACGCCCTTGTTGGGACCCCGACCTGTTGACTTGCTCTGGTACACTCGATCATTCGGGGCCCTCCACATTTGGTCTTGGGCATTTCCGATTGCAATGAAGAACCCTACACTCTTGACGGGGGCCCTATATGTCGACCTGCTCGGATACCCTCGATCGTTCGGAGCCTACGCCTCATGTTGTGAGCATTCTTTATTTGAATGGCTGGCCCTATGTTCATGGCGGGCTTCATCTATAAAGCTGCTCGGGCCGGCGACGGATGCAGAAGCGGGGGGGGGGGGGGGGGGGCACGGGACCATACCTCCCTGGTTATGCCGTGATGAGCTGAAGGCTCCGGAGGGGCCCATAACCGGCAGAACGGACGCAGATTTCTAACAACAAAAGCACAACCAAATTGGACGTTTTGGGGCATACAGACGATCAAGAAACAGTCACTAAGAGTTAAGAGTTCATAAGCAGACAAAGTTAACTCTGCGCTGATCGAGAAGGTGTTACTCGGGAAAATGTTGGGGCTCATTACGTTGTCCAAAGGCATAACGCTGTCGATTGCCCATAACGCTGTTGATTGCCGTATGTCCACTTGCCGGGCCACTCTGATTGCTAAAGAGCCTTCCACGTTGCTCTTGACCTCTTTGCATTTTCTTGTAGGGAGTGACGCTGCTGTTGGGTTGCTATCTGCTTCCTCGCCTGGGCACTCTTGACTGGTGCAGGTTGTCCTCCGCTGACTCTTTCCATTCGCCTGACAGGCTCTATACCTTTTTTCGGGGTCCCATAAGCCAGGGTACACTCAATCGCTCAGGGCCTTTCCATATAAGTCTCGGGTTCTTTCCACTTGCTTGGAAGCCTTGCATTGTTGCTGTGGCTCTTATAAGGTAAGGCGTCTGTGTCTGTGGCTGCGCGCCGGCGTCTGTGGCTTCTGCTTCCAGGACCTGGCGGCCGGGCCGGTCAACGGCTCCTGCCTGCCGATCGTCTCTTCCTACAACTCATCGGCGGCGGCCGGCCGCTGCGCCGACGCCGCTGCGCTGGGTGTGGATGGGCTCACCTGGGCGCCCGACTGGTGCCCCACCGACTATGCCTGGCTGCCCATCACTGGCATGTTCTTCTACATCACACTGTTCCCGCCTGGCCTGGGTGCCATGCCATGGACCATCACCTCCGAGATCTTCCCGCTGTGGGCCCGCAGCACCTGCATCTCCATAACCACAGCCGTGAACTGGTTCTTCAACTTGCTCGTGTCGCTGACGTTTTTGACGCTGACATATGCCATCACGCGCCAGGGCACGTTCTATCTCTTCTGCGGCTGCACAGTCACCGGCCTGGCCGTGTTCTTCATGGTCGTGCCGGAGACGCGGGGGGTGCGGCTGGAGGAGATGCCTGCGCTCTTCTCGCAGCCCTGGGGCCTCCACGCGCCGCGGCGTGCCCCGGCAGACCGGCCTAAACCGCAGCCATATGACAATGAGGCGTACGACCCGTCTTGATGACGTGTGATATACAGGAGAACTATGCGTAGTGTTCTAGATGTTTTGACCATACATGTGCACCAGTCTTTTGTGTCCGTGCGTTGATAAGTGAATTTGGACGTGTTTAAAGTGTTGGGTTTATTACAATGTCCTGGGCGTTGCGCACTGGGTTGACTCCAAGCTTCTGCTGTAATCGCTCCAATTGGCTTGTTTTCCGACAGTTCGCCAAATACACATGCCTCTTATTTTCAAACCTGAGAATACATCGAATGGCCTGTCACGTTGAGGCTTCTTTCATCGATAGAGACCCGATTTTCCTCGATAGGATTCCGGACATGGCGACTGGTGTCGCCTGAGCCTGCCAGGTGACATTCCATCCATTCACCGTTTTACCAAACTCTGAATAATGTGCCGAACGGTCAGGTATCGTACGGGGTCCCAACTCGCGCACGGCGTCACACATAACAAATGTCGCATCGGCATGCACAGAGCAAGCAAAAACTCAGTTGAAAACACACATCCTGGCCGGCCCGACTCAATCATAAACTCTGAACGCGATGCGGGCTGGATTAACTGTAATAAATTGTTAAACGCTTACTGCAGACTATTAGGTCACGCAGAACTTGATCGCAACATTGCTCATCATACGACTTTACCTCCCTCATTCTGCCAACACGGAAAACTTAAGATTTTCTAATCGCAAAAGGGCTGAGAAACATGTGTGGAAAACAGGCCCAAATCTCAAGTACCTGTCAATCGCATCGTTTTGGGATTTTTTGGGATGGCCTCAAGCATCAGCAAAAGGGCAGTTGACGAAATTAAGCCACTTTTCGAATTGTTATTTTTTAATTAATAAATTATTCGAAAATGATTTCGAATAAAAGACCGTTTGGCTTCAAACAGGAAAGATTAAACGGTGAAAACAACACAGGTTATTAGGTACATTGTTGTGAGTGATATCTCCTGGAAATGTTTGCGTTTATTTGCAATACTTAAAACAAAATTGCCCAAACCACGAACCATTGCGAAACCACGAATCATTGATTTCATAGCACAATTTCCAGGCATGGCTGGAAGCAGAGCCGGTCAATTTCAAGCAATGTTACTCACATGATATCATACAAATAGTACATCTGTGGACCAGAGCCAGCCAATTGTGATGAAAGGCATTGATCAAACTTATTGCTACCGGTAGCCAAAGGCATCCGGTTCCATGAGGTAAGTTATGAAATCACCTACGCGATGGTGGATCTTTCTCAAGCCTATTTTTGCCTCGCCCGTCACACGACGTAGACGCGTTTTGCTAGTAGTGAATTTTGAGTCTCTTCTGTAAGGAGGATAAAGGCCATTTACATATTAGGTCTACTTATCTTCCACTATACTAAAGAAGCAATGTGTGTGTGTGTGTGTGTGTGTGTGTGTGTGTGTGTGTGTGTGTGTGTGTGTGTGTGTGTGTGTGTGTGTGTGCGCGCGTGCGCGCGCGCGTGCGTGCGTGCGTGCGTGCGTGTGTGTGTGTGTGTGCGCGTGCGTGCGTGCGTGCGTGCGTGCGTGCGTGTGTGTGTGCGCGCGCGCGTGCGTGCGTGCGTGTGTGTGTGTGTGTGTGTGTGTGTGTGTGTGTGTGTGTGTGTGTGTGTGTGCGTGTGTGTGTGTCCGCCACTGCATTCGGATCACCTGCAAGCTAACCGCTAAGGAATTTTTAATGAGATTTTCACACGAGCAAGGCCTGATGGCAGAGCGCGTCTGATTCACGTCAAAATTCTGCGTTTCACAAAATGAGCGCGTGGTGAGCGAAAAAGGTTGCAAAAATCCCCGTTGGTTTAAAACGGGCGACACCAATTTCGCGACGTCCGGCTGACGGCCCGACACGCCTCTTTTCCCTGATCCATTTCTCGATAACCACGGGTTGCAGCAACATGAAAATTACAGTCAGATATACAATGGAATGGGCCATCGGGCCGGTGTAGGTTTAAGGCGCCACGTGGTACGTGGCTCGTGCACACGAGGTGACAAGATTAAATCGGCCGTTTTTTTACCGATTTTTACGGTTTGAATCACATCTCCGCACCTAGAGTAGGAAGATTCGTACCTTTTGCATCCCAGTACTCACAGTTAAAGTGGCGTTTGTGCAACATCGCGAGTTTGTGCAACGCAGTGTTGCACTACAAATTCCAAGATGAATGGCAAGACACCAAGTTTTTAAAGTCAGCGCCGGATACAAGCCGCTACCGTCAACGCTGTTCAGATTATGGTGGTAAAATTGGCATCAGCATGTTGGTCAATTCATCTTGTCTCTTTTGCGCCCTTTGGTTGGTCACATTTTGCAATGGTTCGCTTGCAAATGAGACTAGACCAATGGGTTGCATGGCGGGTTTCGCACCGCAACGGAACGGTGCAGTCCAGTCGTCGGCCGCCGCCGTCAGCTGTTTCAAGGTTTAACGACCCTCTGATCACGTGACTTGCTGCCGTAATTGACTGCCTCCGACCGACTCTGCCATCTCGCACCAATGTCTCGGCAACGGCGGGTCAAAGCGGCTCAAAGATGGACTTTGCTTTCCCCCACGGGTTTACGTGTTTTATGCCACATCTCGGCACCCATGGCACGAACACACTCGGGATTCGCGCGCTTCAGTGATTAATGGTAGGAACGGGACGGTAATTAGTGGTGACACGTGCCAGATGTCATGGCACCCACGTGTTGAACTATGGATTTGCACGTTTCTGCTCCTTTGACGGGTTTGCATGTCTTTGGGATATCTCAGCAGCCAGGGAACAAAGTACGTCGAGACTGGCATGCTTCGATAGGCGATCTAACGGGCAATCCCACAACCGTGTACAATGTGGTACTGCACGTGTCGTGTGATACGTGCACATTAGCTACGAGGATGTCTTTTGCCGATTTCGTCGATTTTGACGCTTTACGCGACAATATCCGCTCTTGTGGCACGTGGTAACGCGAGGCTAGCATGCCGCGAGAAGCCATTGAGCAGGATTTTATGGTGGCGCAAGTGCTTGGTGGCACATTACACGTGTCAGCCACACACGAGTCAGGAAAATGGCTTTTGGTCTCTTCCACGGGCTTACACGCTTTGTGTACATCCTTGGATATAGCGCACGGACACATTCGGGAGTAGCATGTATTGATAGGGAATGGAAAGAGCAGTCACTTGTCATAAATTGTCATGTTGCACGTGTTGTGTGCCACGCGTGCGCGAGCCAAGAAGGTGGAGTCGGCCACTTCCGGCCATTTTTACGTTTTGCACCATGCTCGGCATCTAGAGCAGCTAGAACCATCAATCAAACCGCGAAAGACAGATAATTCAAAATTCTATGTTTCCTCAAGGAGTGCGTTGAAGCAAGCGTGCGGACGCTTGTCCTCTCCTACAAAGACTCTCGAAAGCTTACGCTACACATTTTGGGTCATTTTTATCGCTTCTCCTATCCTTGGTTACTGACTAGTTACGTTGAGGAAAAACCGTCTCCCCTAGTTACGCTGTGTTAAGCGTAACGTTTCAAAAAGGTGACTTCTGTTTGCTTTCTTACTGGGCTAGAGGCGCGAAACAAAGACGAGCGTGTTGCTTGTGATAACAGTAAGTCGACGGCAATCCGGTTGATGGTTTAAAACATCGAAAAAGCGTCTAACATGCTTTGGAACCACGCCTGGATGTAGTGGTAGGCTGTCCAAAGCCTCTAACCATTGTTACGCTTTGGTTACGCTCCAGGAAAACTCCTTTCCCTCTCCATCCGTAACGTGAATTCTCCTTCTGGTGTTTCTATGTATACACTCAACAGTGCATGCAACTGCATCTATACGGTTGTTTCACGACGAACCATACTGAAAGCATGTACGGACGACACGTGCTTAACTTTATTTCAAATAAACCTTAGCGTAGACATCTAGCGTCTAAGACACGCAGCCAACGCACTCTAGTGGAATCGGCAGCATTAGGTGGCCGTCGCTGGGATGCTAACAAACAACGTCGAATGATCCGACCAGCTGACAGATCGAACAGTTACAATACTGGCATACGCCTGTACTACACATCTCCAATGACAACGAAATCACAACCGCAGGCGTAGCATGTGAGTACATACCAGTGATGCATCCAGGACATCGCCTCTCCCCCACCGCTCCAGCCTGGACAAGCAATATTCACAACTGATTGCTTACATGAGCTGCTGAACTTGCATGTGAGCACTGCAAGAACTCCACTCATTGCACTATCGTGCGGGGGCGCACGCACAGAGAACGCCCGGGCCGTGCTCCCCGTCCCCCTCTTACCTGTCCGATTCTGCGTACGCTGCTGTTACCACGCCCATTCGGATAGTCATAGGACTGACATTAGCACGTTGGCCAATATCCACGAGTGCCCTCACATGATGCAGGCGCAGCTCATGCAGTATGCATATGTGCTCCCGCGAGAGACTGGCGCTAGCTGTCTCGTTAGAGCGCAGCTCGCCGGAGACCAGCGCGTTTCATACGTGCAAGTGTCGTCTCATCTCATGTCGTCAACAAGACTAGCAAACAAGCGCTGAAACTCGTCTCTCCACCCGTTTTGCGTTCGTTTTTGCTGCGGCCTCTGCGGTCGGCGGCCGGCGGTCTCCTGTCGGGCGAGGCCGTCCGCCAGGCTCCAACTGATCCGCACGGTCGGCGTCTGCCTCCGCTGTGTGACCTGGTCCGTGAGTGGCGCCCCCGGCGGACGGAGCGGCGGCTCAGGTCAGCTGCCGCGCCCCTCAGATGAGCAGTCTCTGTCTTGCCGTCAGTATCTCTCGGTATGTGCACAAGCATCCGGCCCGGCCTCCAGGCCTGGGTCGGCCGGGGAGCTACGTAGCTGATCAAGGATCTCGCTTGCGGGTCAGCGCCCGGGGTCATGGCCGACACAGGCCATGGACAGACACAGGTCATAGACCGGTACAGGTCACGACCTGGCACAGGTCATGAACAGACAGGTCACGACCAACACAGGTCATGGACCGACACAGATCATCGCAGACATAGCGCAAGGCCCGACACGAGCCACAACCGACACAGGGTACGAAATCACACAGGTCATGCCGTCACACAGGTCATGACATCCCACAGGTCACGGCATCACACAGGTGATGACGTCACACAGGTCACATCATAACACAGGTCACGGTATCACACAGGTTGTGACATCATACAGGTCATGCTATCACACAGGTCACAGCGGCACACAGGTCACGACATCACTTAGGTCATGACATCACACTGGTTACAGCATAACCCAAGTCACGGCATCACTCAAGCTATGGTGTTCCACAGGTCACAGCATCACACAGGTCACTAAATCACTCAGGTCATGGCATCACACAGACCATGGCACTGCACAGTCACGACAGATGACGGTACGAACTCACCGCAGGCGCTGAAACTCAACAACGTTAAGTGAGTAAAATTGCTTTCTTTTTTTCTTGCAACGCCTTACGGATACTGGTCAATTGCATGTATTCAGCGATCGAGCAGAAAATAAAAATGTTTGGTGTGTTGTATTAGACGCACAAATAAGCGACATCAATGATAGTTATGTGTTCATCTACGTGAACACACCCTTTTGCATACAGTGTATAGCACATAAACATGATGGACCAAGCAATCCAACAAGCAGGGACGCAACCCAGAACACAAGCGCATGCGCACCAGGCAACAAGAGCCCAACTGCGGCGAGCCATGCAGCACAGCTCCTCCTTACTGAGTATAGCTCTCATAGGATTATGTCGAAGCTCGATATGCTGCATTTCTGTATCAAATAGCTGGCGGCCAAAGCTAAATTAGAATCAGCAGTGGTGGGCCTGAGTGAACTAACAGTGACCGGAGATGGCTGCGACCAGGGTGTCTTGACTTGTAGTGAATATAATGAAAGATGGCACCAGTGTCGGTGCCATACATTTTCTGTGTGGGATACTTCCAACACAGGCAGTCATGGGAACCATTTCGTGACTGTGATTATACCTCCACTTGCCAGCCATGACAGCTGTCAGCTAGAGCAGCTGACAACCGTTTACAGTCAAACGTTTGTGTTTTGTTGTTTTGAACAGCATCCTCCAGTTTACGGCCATGCCTTGACTTTGTTTTCCACACATGGGCTTCATCTCAGGACTCCCTTCCTTAAACATTCGTTGTCATTGCAGCGGAATAGATGTGGCAGTTCATTATGTACACCTCGCGCGCCTCCACTCTCCTATGAGCCACCACGCACAAGGAAGTGGCCAACACAGCGTTCTTCAGTCCACTTTTTTGCTCCGAATGCGCTGGTGCCTCAAAAGCCAGGGAGACGACAACAAACAGCAGGCAAAACACCAAGTCATCCTTAATCAACGCCACCGAGCACTGTGTCAACACGAGCGATCACAATCGGAGCGCACTCGGACACCGCAGTTGCCAACATTATCATTTCAAATGCGTCTTGACATGGCTCTGTAAAAATGCGGGGGACATGTTATCTGCGTCGCCGTGAGGCTCTCGGACCGCGCCCAGTCGGCGGCGGCGCGATGTCGACTCCAGAGGTGGCAGTGAGCGGCAGCTATGGCGGCGACGGCGGCGGCGGCAGCGGCGGTGGCGGCGGTGGCGGTGCCACGCTCTGCGGCCACAGCGGCGACGGTAGCGGTGGCGGTGGTGGTGGCGGCGGCGGTGCCACGCTCCGCGGCCACAGCGGCGACGGTGGCGGTGGTGGCGGCGGCGGTGGCGGTGACGGTGGCGACGGCGGCGGCGGCGGCGGTGCCACGCTCAGCGGTCACGGCGCGCTCGTCTACCTCCTCACTCTGCTCGGCGGCATCAGCAACCTACTGTTTGGCTACGACACGGGCGTGGTGTCGGGCGCCATGCTGCTGGTGCGACGCCAGTTCCTGCTGACCGACTTCTGGCACGAGCTGATAGTGTCCGGCCACGGTCGGCGCCGCCGGCGTGGCAGCGCTGCTCGGTGGCCAGCTGGCTGACCGGCTCGGCCGCAAGCCGGTGGTGCTGGGCGCCGGCGTGCTTTTCGTAGCCGGCTCGCTGGTCATGGCGCTGGCCGGCGGCAAGGAGGTGCTGCTAGTCGGTCGTCTGGTTGTCGGGATCGCCGTCGGTCTCTCCAGCATGGCGGTGCCCATGTACGTGTCCGAGTCGGCGCCGGTCGCCATCCGCGGCCGACTCGTCACGCTTACGGCGTCCATCATCACCCTGGGAGCGCTAGTGGCGTCACTAGTATGCGGTGCCCTCTCCGATGTCGGCGAAGGCTGGCGCTGGATGCTGGGCCTGGGCGCAGCGCCGGCCGCCCTGCAGCTGATCGGGTTCACGTTCATGCCGGAGACACCGCGCTTTCTGGTCTCCAGGGGCCGCAACGAGCAGGCCCGCCAGGTGCTGCGCCGGCTGCGCGGCGACGGTGCGCACGTCCAGCACGAGTACGAGACGATCAAGGCCGACTTTGACGCGCAGGAGGCACTTCTCCGAGAGAAGGCGGCGGCCGGCGGCGGCGGGTCGGTGCTGACGCAGCTGGTGCGCGAGCCAGCCACGCGACGCGCCCTGCTCGCCGGCTGCTGCCTGCAGATGTTCCAGCAGGTGTCGGGCGTCAACACCGTGGTCTACTACAGCGCCAGCATCATCACGCTGGCCGGCGTGCGTGACGCGAGCACTGCCATCTGGCTCTCCTCCATCACCAACCTACTCAGCTTCCTGGCCAAGTTCGTGGGCTTGGCGCTGGTGGAGCGCGCTGGACGCCGGCCCATCCTGCTCTGGAGTGCCCTCGGCTCGGCGATGGCGCTGCTGCTGCTCGGCGCCGGCTTCCAGGTCAGCGCCAGCGCCTCTCCGGCCGTTAGTGTGACGGGGCCGGCCGGCTGCGCGGCGAGCACCTGCGACGCCTGCGAGCGCGCCGGCGTCTGTGGCTTCTGCTTTCCAGGATCTGGCGGCCGGGCCGGTCAACGGCTCCTGCCTGCCGATCGTCTCTTCCTACAACTCATCGGCGGCGGCCGGCCGCTGCGCCGACGCCGCTGCGCTGGGTGTGGATGGGCTCACCTGGGCGCCCGACTGGTGCCCCACCGACTATGCCTGGCTGCCCATCACTGGCATGTTCTTCTACATCACACTGTACTCGCCTGGCCTGGGCGCCATGCCATGGACCATCACCTCCGAGATCTTCCCGCTGTGGGCCCGCAGCACCTGCATCTCCATAACCACAGCCGTGAACTGGTTCTTCAACTTGCTCGTGTCGCTGACGTTTTTGACGCTGACCCACGCCATCACGCGCCAGGGCACGTTCTATCTCTTCTGCGGCTGTACAGCCGCCGGCCTGGCCGTGTTCTTCATGGCCGTGCCAGAGACTCGGGGGGTGCGGCTGGAGGAGATGCCTGCGCTCTTCTCGCAGCCCTGGGGCCTCCACGCGCCGCGGCGTGCCCCGGCAGACCGGCCCAAACTGCAGCCATATGACAATGAGGCGTACGACCCGTCTTGATGACGTGTGATATACAGGAGAACTATGCGTAGCGTTCTAGATGTTTTGACCATGCATGTGCACCAGTCTTTTGTGTCTGTGCGTTGATAAGTGAATTTGGACGTGTTTAAAGTGTTTGGCCTATTACAATGTCCTGGACGTTGCGCACTGGGCTGATTCCAAACTTCTGCTGTAATCGCTCCAATTGGCTTGTTTTCTGACAGTTCGCCAATTGCACCTGCCTCTTGTTTTGAAACGTCACACTCGCGACGACTTTGCAACGTTTCGAGAGTTAATCGAGAGCATAGCTTGGGGTAAGCACTCTGTTCACGCTGGTCGGGTGGCTCGCAGTATGCACACTTAGTTCATTCTGGCAGTCAGAACTCGCCCACGGTTTCGTATCCTTCATCGTGCTGTGCAGCTTCCTGACAATCCATCGAATGACCTGTCACGTTGGACGTTCTTTCATCGATAGAGACCCGATTTTCCTCGATAGGATTCCGGACATGGCGACTGGTGTCGCCTGAGCCTGCCAGGTGACATTCCATCCATTCACCGTTTTACCAAACTCTGAATAATGTGCCGAACGGTCAGGTATCGTACGGGGTCCCAACTCGCGCATGACGTCTACACATAACAAACATCGCATCCGCATGCACAGAGCAAGCAGAAACTCAGTTGAAAGCACACATCCTGGCCGGCCCGACTCAATCACAAACTCCGAACGCGATGCGGGCTGAATTATTTGTAATAAATTGTTAAACGCTTACTGCAGACTATTAGGTCACGCAGAACTTGATTGCAACATTGCTCATCATACGACTTGACCTCCCTCATTCTGCCAACACGGAAAACGTAACATTTCCTAATTGCGAAAGAGCTGAGAAACATGTGTGGAAAACTGGCTCAAATCTGAAGTACCTGTCTACCGCATCATTTTGGGATTTTTTGGGGATAGCCTCATGCATCAGGCAAAAGGGCAGTTGACGAAATTAAGCCAATCGCACAATGTATGTAGATGAAAGGCGAAGGCGCCGGCCACAATTCGCTTCAACATCTCAGAGCTGTCCGACACAGGTGCGGGAGTAATCTACCGGAAAGCAGCAAATATTATACGAAAATAATTGCGAATAAAAGATCGTTTGGCTTCAAATAAGAGAGATTAGACGGTGAAAGCTGCACACGTTATTGGATACATTGTTGTCAGTAATATCTCTTGGAAATGTTTACGTTTGTTTGCAATACTTAAAACAGAATTGCCCCAAACCACGAAGCATTGTGAAGGCACGAATCAATGGTTTCATAGCAAAATTTCCAGGCATGGCTGGAAGCAGAGCCGGTCAATTTCAAGCAATGTTACTCATGTGATACCATACAAATAGTACATCTGTGGACCAGAGCCTGCCAATTGTGATGAAAGGCACTGATCAAACTTATTGCTACCGGTAGCCAAAGGCATCCGGCTCCATGAGGTGAGTTATGAAATCACCTACGTGATAATGGATCTTTCTCAAGCCTATTTTTGCCTCGCCCGTCACACGACATAGACGCGTTTTGCTAGTAGTGGATTTTGAGTCTCTCCTGTACGGATAAAGGCCATTTATGTATTAGGTCTACTTATCTTCTACTATACTAAAGAAGCAATGTTTGTATGCGTGCGTGCGTACGTGCGTGCGTGCGTGCGTGCGTGCGTGCGTGCGTGCGTGCGTGCGTGCGTGCGTGCGTGTGTGTGTGTGTCTGTGCGTGTTTGTGTGTGTCCGTCACTGCATTCGGATCACCTGCAAGCTAACCGCTAAGGAATTTTTAATGATATTTTCGCACGAGCAAGGCCTGGTGGCAGAGCGCGTCTGATTCACGTCAAAATTCTGCATTTCATAACGTGAGCGCGTGGTGAGCGAAAAGGGTCGCAAAAATCCCCGTAGGTTTAAAACGGGCGACGCCAATTTCGCGACGTCCGGCTGACGGCCCGACACGCCTCGTTCCCCTGATCCATTTCTCGATAACCAAGGGTTGCAGCAACATGAAACTTACAGTCAGATATACAATTGAATGGGCCATCGGGCTGGTGTAAGTTTAAGGCGCCACGTGGTACGTGGCACGTGCACACGAGGTGACAAGATTAAATCGGCCGTTTTTTACCGACTTTTACGCTTTGAGTGACATCTCGGCACCTAGAGTAGGAAGATACGTACCTTTTGTATCCCAATATTTACAGTTACAGCGGCGTTTGTGCAACATCGCGAGTTTGTGCAACGCAATGTTGCACTGCAAATTCCAAGACAAATGGCAAGACACCAAGTTTTTAAAGTCAACGCCGAATACAAGCCGCTACCGTCAAAACTGTTCAGATTATGGTGTTGAAGTCGACATCAGCGTGTTGGTCAGTTCATCTTGTCTCTTTTCCGCCCTTTGGTTGGTCACATTTTGCAATGGTCCGCTCGCAAATGAGGCTAGACTAATGGGCTGCATAGCGGGTTTTGCACCGCAACGGAACGGTGCCGTCCAGTCGTCGGCAGCCGCCGTCAGTTGTTTCAAGGTTTAACGACCCTCTGATCACGTGACTTGCTGCCGTAATTGACTGCCTCCGACCGACTCTGCCATCTCGCACCAATGTCTCGGCAACGGCAGGTCGAAGCGGCTCAAATATGGATTTTGCTCTCCCCCACAGGTTTATGCGTTTTGTGCCAGGTCTCGGCACCCATGGCACGAACGCAGTCGGGATTGGCGCGCTTCAGTGGTGAATGGTAGGAGCGGGATGGTAATTAGTGGTGACACGTGCCAGATGTCATGGCACCCACGTGTTGAACTATGGATTTGCACGTTTCTGCTCCTTTGACGGGTTTGCATGTTTTGGGATGTCTCAGCAGCCAGGTAACAAAGTACGTCGGGACTGGCATGCTTCGATAGACGATCTAACGGGCAATCACACAAACGTGTACAATGTGGTACTGCACGTGTCGTGTGATACGTGCGCATTAGCTATGGGGATGTATTTTTCCGATTTCGTCGATTTTGACGCTTAACGCTGCGACACGCCTCCACACCGTGCACATATGCTGCGATAAGCCATTGAGCGAGATTTTATGGTGTCACAAGTGCTTGGTGGCACGTTACATGTGTCGGCCACACAAGAGTCAGGAAAATGGCTTTTGGTCTCTTCCGCGGGTTTACACGCTTTGTGTACATCCTGGCACTTGGGGCAAGGACACATTCGGGAGTAGCATGTATTGATAGGGAATGGAAAGAGCAATCACTTGGCATACATTGTCATGTTGCACGTGTTGTGTGCCACGCGTGCACGAGCCAAAAAGATGGAGTCGGCCATTTCCGGCTATTTTTACGTTTTGCACCATACCTCGGCATCTAGAGCAGCTAGAACCATCAACCAAATCGCAAAAGATGGATAATTCAAAATTCTACGTTTTCTCAAGGAGTGGTGAACCAAGCTTGCAGACGCTTGTTCTCTCCTACTGAGACTCTCAAAAGCTTACGTTACACATTTTGGGTCACTTTTATCGCTCCTCCTATCCTTGGTTACGGACTAGTTACGTTGGGGAAAACCGCCTCCCCTAGTTACGCTGTGTTGAGCGTAACGTTTCAAAAAGGTGACTTCTGTTTGCTTTCTTACTGGGCTAGAGGCGCGAAACATAGATGGGCGTGTTGCTTATGATAACAGCAAGCCAACGGCATTCCGGTTTATGGTTTTAAAGCATCGAAAAAGCGTCTAACATGTTTTGGAACCACGTCTGGATGTAGCGGTATGTTGTCCAAAGCATCTGACCATTGTTACGCTCACATTTGGTTATTGGTAGCTGGTTGGTAGCCAAGCAAGCTGGTTACGCTCCAGGAAAACTCCTCCCCTCTCCATCCGCAACGTGAATTCTCCTTCTGGTGCTTCTATGTATATATTTTACAGTGCATAAAATTGCATCTATGCGGTTGTTTTATGACGAACCATAACGAAAGCATGTACGGACGACACGTGCTTAACTTTATTTCAAATAAACCTTAGCGTAGACATCTAGCGTCTAAGACACGCAGCCATTGCACTCTAGTGGAATCGGCAGCATTAGGTGGCCGTCGCTGGGATGCTAACAAACAACGTCAAATGACCTGACCAGCTGGCAGATCGAACAGTTACAATACTGGCATACGCCGTACTACACATCTCCATTTACGACAAAATCACAACCGCAGGCGTGCATGTGAGTGCATACCAGTGATGCATCCAGGACATCGCCTCTCTCTCACCGCTCCAGCCTGGACAAGCAATATTCACAACTGATTGCTTACATGAGCTGCTGAACTTGCATGTGAGCACTGCAAGAACTCCACTCATTGCACTATCGTGCGGGGGCGCACGCACAGAGAACGCCCGGGCCGTGCTCCCCGCCCCCTCTTACCTGTCCAATTCTGCGTACGCTGCTGTTACCACGCCCATTCAGATAGTCATAGGACTGACATTAGCACGTTGGCCAATATCCACGAGTGCCCTCACATGATGCAGGCGCAGCTCATACAGTATGCATATGTGCTCCCGCGAGAGACTGGCGCTAGCTGTCTCGTTAGAGCGCAGCTCGCCGGAGACCAGCGCGTTTCATACGTGCAAGTGTCGTCTCATCTCACGACGTCAACAAGACTAGCAAACAAGCGCTGAAACTCGTCTCTCCACCCGTTTTGCGTTCGTTTTTGCTGCGGCCTCTGCGGTCGGCGGCCGGCGGTTTCCTGTCGGGCGAGGCCGTCCGCCAGGCTCCAACTGATTCGTACGGTTGGCGTCTGCCTCCGCCGTGTGACCTGGTCCGTGAGTGGCGCCCCCGGCGGCCGGAGCGGCGGCTCAGGTAAGCTGCCACGCCCCTCAGATGAGCGTCTCTGTCTTGCCGTCAGTATCTCTCGGTATGTGCACAAGCATCCGGCCCGGCCTCCAGGCCTGGGTCGGCCGGGGAGCTACGTAGCTGATCAAGGATCTCGCCTGTGGGTCAGCACCCAGGGTCATGACTGAAAACAGGCCATGGGCAGACATTGGTCATGACCTGACAAAGGTTATGGACTGGCACAGGTCACGACCTGGCACAGGTCATGGACAGACACAGGTCACGACCAACACAGGTCATGGGCCGACACAGATCATCATCGACGTAGCGCATGGCCCGATACAGGTCACAACCGACACAGGGTACGAAATCACACAGGTCATGACGTCACACAGGTCATGACACCCCACAGGTCACGACATCACACGAGTGATGACGTCACACAGGTCATGACATCCCACAGGTCACGGCATCACACAGGTGATGACGTCACACAGGTCACATCATAACACAGGTCACGGTATCACACAGGTCTCAGTATCACGCAGGTTGTGACATCACACAGGTCATGCTATCACACAGATCACAGCGGCACACAGGTCACGACATCACTTAGGTCATGACATCACACTGGTCACAGCATAACCCAAGTCACGGCATCACTCAAGCCATGGCATCCCACAGGCTACAGCATCACACAGGTCACTAAATCACTCAGGTCATGACATCACACAGACCATGGCACTGCACAGTCACGACAGATGACGGTACGAACTCACGCAAGCGCTGAAACTCAAAAAAGTTAAATGAGTAAAATTGCTTCCTTTTTCTTGCAACGCCTTACGGATACTGGTCAATTGCATGTATTCAGTGATCGAGCAGAGAATAAAAATGCTTGTTGTGTTGTATTAGGCGTACAAATAAGCGTAATCAGTGATAGTCCTGCGTTCATCTACGTGAACACACACTTTTGCATACAGTGTACAGCACATAAACATGATGAACCAAACAATCCAACAAGCAGGGACGCAACCCAGAACACAAGCACATGCACACCATGCAACAAGAGCCCAACTGTGACGTGCTATGCAGCACAGCTCCTCCTTACTGAGTATAGCTCTCATATGATTATGTCGAAGCTAGATACGCTACATTTCGGTATCAAATAGCTGGCAACCAGAGCTAAATTAGAACCAGCAGTGATGGGTCTGAGTGACTAACAGTGACCGGAAATGGCCGCGGCCAGGATGTCTTGACTTGTAGTGAATATAATGAAAGATGGCACCAGTGTCGGTGCCATACATTTTCCGTGTGGGATACTTCCAACACTAGCAATCACGGGAACCATTTCGTGACCGTGATTATACCTCCACTTGCCAGCCATGACAGCTGTCAGCTAGAGCAGCTGACAACCGCTTACAGTCAAACGCTTGTGTTTCGTTGTTTTGAGCAGCATCCTCCAGTTTGCGGCCATGCCTTGAGTTTGTTTTCCACACATCGGCTCCATCTCAAGACTCCCTTCCTTAAACATTCGTTGTCATTACAGCGGAATAGATGTGGCAGTTCACTATGTACACCTTCCCCGCCTCCACTCTCCGATGAGCCACCACGCACAAGGAAGTGGCCAACACAGCGTTCTTCAGTCCACTTTTTTGCTCCGAATGCGCTGGTGCCTAAAAGGCCAGGGAGACGACAACAAACAGCAGGCAGAACACCAAGTCACCCCTAATCAACGCCACCGAGCACTTTGTCAATACGAGCGATCACAATCGGAACGCACTCGGACACCGCACTTGCCAACATTATCATTTCAAATGCGTCTTGATATGGCTCTGTAAAAATGCGAGGGACACATGGTATCTGCGTCGCCGTGAGGCCCTCGGACCGCGCCCAGTCGGCGGCGGCGCGATGTCGACTCCAGAGGTGGCAGTGAGTGGCGGCGGCGGCGGCGGCGGCGGCGGTGGCGGCGGCGGCAGCGGCGGCGGTGGCGGCGGTGGCGGTGACGATGGTGACGGTGGTGGCGGTGCCACGCTCCGCGGTCACGGCGCGCTCGTCTACCTCCTCACTCTGCTCGGCGGCATCAGCAACCTGCTCTACGGCTACGACACGGGCGTGGTGTCAGGCGCTATGCTGCTGGTGCGCCGCCAGTTCCTGCTGACCGACTTCTGACACGAGCTGATAGTGTCCGCCACGGTCGGCGCCGCCGGCGTGGCAGCACTGCTCGGCGGCCAGCTGGCCGACCGATTTGGACGCAAGCCGGTCCTGCTTTGCGCCGGTGTTCTGTTCCTAGCCGGCTCGCTGGTCATGGCGCTGGCCGGCGGCAAGGAGGTGCTGCTAGTCGGTCGGCTAGTGGTCGGGATCGCCGTGGGTCTCTCCAGCATGGCGGTGCCCATGTACGTGTCCGAGTCGGCGCCAGTCGCTATCCGCGGCCGTCTCGTCACACTTACAGCGTCGGCAATCACGCTCGGGACGTTGGTAGCATCACTGGTGTGTGGCGCTCTCTCTGGTGTCGGCGAGGGCTGGCGTTGGATGCTGGGCCTGGGTGTTGTGCCGGCTGTCCTGCAGCTGGTTGGGTTCACGTTCATGCCGGAGACACCGCGCTTTCTGGTCTCCAGGGGCCGGGACGAGCAGGCCCGCCAGGTGCTGCGCCGGCTGCGCGGCGACGGTGCGCACGTCCAGCACGAGTACGAGACGATCAAGGCTGACTTTGACGCGCAGGAGGCACTACTCCGAGAGAGGGCGGCGGCCGGCGGCGGCGGGTCGGTGCTGACGCAGCTGGTGCGCGAGCCATCCACGCGACGCGCCCTGTTCGCCGGCTGCTGCCTTCAGATGTTCCAGCAGGTGTCGGGCGTCAACACCGTGGTTTACTACAGTGCCAGCATCATCACGCTGGCCGGCGTGCGCGAGGCGAGCATGGCCATCTGGCTCTCCTCCATCCCCAATCTACTCAGCTTCCTGGCCAAGTTCGTGAGCTTGGCGCTGGTGGAGCGCGCCGGACGCCGGCCCATCCTGCTCTGGAGTGCCCTCGGCCCGGCGCTGGCGCTGCTGCTGCTCGGCGCCGGCTTCCAACTTAGCGCCAGCGCCTCTCCGGCCGTTAGTGTGGCCGGGCCGGCCGGCTGCGCGGCGAGCACCTGCGACGCCTGCGAGCGCGCCGGCGTCTGTGGCTTCTGCTTCCAGGATCTGGCGGCCGGGCCGGTCAACGGCTCCTGCCTGCCGATCGTCTCTTCCTACAACTCGTCGGCGGCGGCCGGCCGCTGCGCCGACGCCGCTGCGCTGGGTGTGGATGGGCTCACCTGGGCGCCCGACTGGTGCCCCACCGACTATGCATGGCTGCCCATCACTGGCATGTTCTTCTACATCTCGGTTTACTCGCCTGGCCTTGGCGCCATGCCGTGGACCATCACCTCCGAGATCTTCCCGCTGTGGGCCCGCAGCACCTGTATCTCCATAACCACGGCCGTCAAGTGGTTCTTCAACTTGCTCGTATCGCTGACGTTCTTAACTCTGACGCACGCCATCACGCGCCAGGGCACGTTCTATCTCTTCTGCGGCTGCACAGCCGTCGGCCTGGTCGTGTTCTTCATGGCCGTGCCGGAGACGCGGGGGGTGCGGCTGGAGGAGATGCCTGCGCTCTTCTCGCAGCCCTGGGGCCTCCACGCGCCGCGGCGTGCCCCGTCAGACCGGCCGAGCCCGCAGCCGTATGACAATAAGGCGTGCGACTCGTCCTGATGGGTGTATGATTATCAGGGGAACTGTGTGTAACGTTCTAGGTGTTTTGAGCATACATGTGCACCAGTCTTTTGCGTCGGTGTGTTGATAAATGAATTTGGACGTGCTTAAAGTCCGTGGCCTGTTGAAGTGTGATAGATAATTGACTAGAGGTAGCGCACTGGACTGATTCCAAGCTTCTGCTGCAAACGCTCCAGCTGCTTCATTTGCTGACATTTCAACAAGTGCGCATGCCTCTATCAGCAATAACTCGTCCATGAATTTTCAAACTTCATCGTACTATGCAGCTCCCCGACAATCTATCGCATGCCCAGTCATGTTGCTTCTCCTTATCGATATCAAGACATGTTTTCCTCGATGAGAGTCAAGACATGGCGACTGTTGCGCCTGAGTCAGCCAGGCGACATTCCGTCCATTCACTGCGGTTACCGAGCTTTGAACAACAGCGGAGTATGGACGTTGGAACTCTCAGGTCTCGTCTGGTGCTACACATAATACGCATCGCATCGCCTCCGCATGCTCAGAGCAAACATGAACACCAGTTGTAAGCACACATCCTGGGCGGCACCACGCAATGCTAAATTCTAAACGCGATTCGCAGCACTGCAGCACCACACAGGCACCTTTCGGCACGTAGGCTGTCACTGTGGACACCACGCAGGCACCAGTCGGCACGTGGGCTGTCACTGTGGATACCACACAGGCACCATTCGGCACGTGGGCTGGCTCTGTGGACACCACGCAGGCACCAGTCGGCACGTGGGCTGTCACTACGGGCACCACGCACTTACCAACCGGCTCGTGGGCTATCTCTGTAGACACAGCGCAGGCACCACTCGGCACATGGGCCGTCAGTGCGACACTGCGTAGGCGCCAGTGGGCACGTGGGCTATCGCTGCGGACACCACGCAGGCGCCAGGCGCCGTGGCTGGCCAGGACCAGGCGCCACTCAGCGGTGCACCGTATCAGCGGTGAATCGCATGACGCGGACAAAGAGCAGCCGCCTCCTAAAGCAGCTCTCTCTCTCTCTCTCTCTCTCTCTCTCTCTCCTCATCTCTCTCTCTCTCTCTCTCTCTCTCTCTCTCTCTCTCTCTCTCTCTCTCTCTCTCTCTCTCTCTCTCTCTCTCTCTCTCTCTCTCTCTCTCTCTCTCTCTCTCTCTCTCTCTCTCTCTCTCTCTCTCTCTCTCTCTCTCTCTCTCTCTCTCTCTCTCTCTCTCTCTCTCTCTCTCTCTCTCTCTCTCTCTCTCTCTCTTTCTCTCTGGCGCGCGACGCGGGCGCACGCCAGACGGCAATACTGCAGGACAATACGACCGCCGACGGCAATACTGCAGAACTCGAACGCCAACATCAAAGAAGTGCTATGCAACCGTGCGATTTACCAAAACTGGTATCTCCCACCCGTCCTCCCAAGGTGCTGGCCGAAGGAGCGCGGTGCATGAAGCCGCAGGACAACGGCGAGCGGTAGGCCTGAAGTCGAAGCGACGCTGGGAGAAGCGAACCATCTTCCCTTGGCCCAGCCCCCGGACCAGCCGGCCGCATGTGCTCGGCGAAATTGTGTGTGGCGGCGCTTGAATAAATCGAAACGCTTCAGATAGCGTTAGGCTCCAACTCGGCATTTCCTCGAACGTTTCCCAAAAGCCGCACTTAAACGGTTCAACCGTTGTTGGTAAGTCGCCTGCAAGTTGGCCAAGCGTCAGATTGTCTTCGCGCTCGGCATTAATCAATCAGGGCGGCAGCATCCGTGTAAAAGTGAGTCATCCGGCGGGCTCCGAGAAGCCACGCCCGCTCGCTCGCTGACTCGTTAGCTAAGTAAATCTGAGCCTTTCTCGCGGTGTGGAACTTGAGCCGAGCGCAGTATGCAAAGCGACCTCAGCCGCCGCTACATCTCCTGAATGGCGGCTCAGACGGGAGCCGTGCACGAGAGCCGAGCTTCTGCAAATGTCAGGCGTCATTATGGCAGCAGTCGGTTGAAAGGAGGAAAACCTCACGTGACCAGCACATCTGCAGCGCACACGAGCCGCAGACTCCGGCAGGGGTTCGTCTCCCTTTTCATGGGGCGGATAATTCGACAATGCGCTCTTTAACTCAGTTAAGCCTTACTCCTGGCCTGGAAGCATTAAAAATATCAAAATAGTCGTGGTAGAATGTTTTAGCCTAACCTGTTGTGGTAGCACAAGACCTCACACCTTTAACATTTTGGCACTGTGATCTTAGATCGCGTTACATAGCATGACACTCAGCCAGTCAGTGTGCAACTCCGCCATCATAAAACGTCGATAAAAGACCCAAGGGATCACTTCAAACGTGATCAAGGCCCAAATATTACCTTTCTCTGAAGATTTTCGCTAAACTCAGTAATGACACGACAAACTTATAAACTCTCATCTACCCCATTTTCATCAAAATGGTTTCATCAGGTTATATAAGGTCAGAACCCAGTGGTAAATTATGCTAGCCAAATCAAAGCAACGGTGGCCGCTCTGCTGTTTTAGGCGTTTTGAGCGTAGGCACACTGAGCTCTGCGGGCATTTACCTCTTACGAGAACACTCCACATAACAACTACCGATCGTTGAACTTTCAATATGCCGACAGATAGCTTTGACATTGGACATCTACGATTTAGACACTGATCTTGTTACCACGAGTAATATTGCACGACTCGGCCCGTCACAAAGGCAGCAGAGAGTACGCTCTTTCAGCATGAAAATGACTCATAAAAACTTGCGCGACAAAAATTGATCGCTATATTTGGCCTCAAACTGCGCATTGGAATATTGCATGCCTTAACTAATTAAGATATCGAAGTACGTCGCAGACATGCGTGACAACTAACATTTTTATTACATCAATGCTTGCCATATCTTTTGCACGTTTTCGTCCCTCCATCGGTACTTGGCACTGATGTAAGCTTAACTGAGGTCTGCCAATAGCAGCAGATCGTAAAGTTGACTGTTCTCGCGCCTTATCAGGTCATGCCAGATCGGGGGGTAAAAGCGTAAAATTCGACAGTAAAACACCGACTTAATAGTCATTCGTCAGTCGATTGGGAACTGGAAACTGTATAAGTATTTTGCTTTTCTGCCGATTGTCTACGTTAACATTACAGCGCACAAAACATGAACATTTGTAAATTGAGTTCCAAAAGATTCGAAGATATCGTTAATGTGGTAGAAAACTTGGTCGCTGTTGCTCTAATCTAGCCAACCGTTTCAGAGCAAGTCACGAATAACAGATAATCTTGAAGAGATATAGTTATCAATTTCTGAGGAATGTGGGCATTATTTTGCTATTTCATTTACTGGCTTGTGGTGGAATACCCGAGCAGTACCATCAGAGCGTAATTGGGCGTAAAAATAGCATTGTTGAATAGAATTCATCAACAAGCGTTCTCGATTGCAGCACACAGAGAAAACTGAATTTTCTTTGCTACTCGGAAGATTTCATTGGCTACTCGGAGTGCATTCTAAAGCGAAACCACGTGCACATGCACTAGTCTTTTCCATGTTAAGTTACGCAGTTTGAATAGGACTTTCAAACTTGTGTCCAGTTGAAGGCTCTCAAAATCCGTGAGATGAAATCACTCACTGTGCCATTGCTAGCCTTTATTCATGACTTCTTCGGCACCAGCAAAGTGCCAACCAAGTGCATCCACAGATGGGTAACCATATTTCCACTAGTCAGCACTAGCCGTGCCGTCGGCGATGGCATGTCAGCAATTCAACATCGAATTACACTTCTTGTAATAGCGATTAGCTAGCATAAGTTACGAACATTTTATCAGTTTTCCTCACTTAAGTAATAAGTTTTCCGAATTCCTTCCGTTTTCTAAAAAGCAAGCCCGGCAAAAATCCACATTACGTGACCCCCGCTTTTCGGCCAGCAAGGAAGTGAACTGCACTGAACTGAGCAACTGAACTAGAAATAAGCTAACGTGGTCGCCGCCGACCGTCGTTTCTGCGGGCACTACAGCCGACAGAATGAGACACCGTACAGTCATCTTATCAGGTCCCTCGATAATGAGTTGGGAAAACAAGATAGTTCTCCGCCCTGCGTAAAGATTAGAGTACTGTGCGACATTTTACCCGCTCTCTAAAATTATTAAATTTGGAGGCCAAATTGCTACTTGCAAGTTGCGTATTGCATGGAAATAGTTTTGATGCAATCCCTGTGAGATCACGCGACATACCATCCGCATATGAGACGAAACTGTCTCGCCACTATTGCTGTTTATTTCATGTGGCGTCAGCAATAGCATGATTACAGCAGTTCAAGTAGCAGTAAATGATGAGCCAGGTATGGATTTCTTCATTGTTTTGATATTTAATAATTAAATATGTCACGAGCCCTCGGATTTTATATGTAGCAGACAACCTTTCACGGGTTTTAGCATAGGATCTAGCAATGTAGGCCGTTTTTATCATACAATAACCTCTGGCTTCTGGCTGAGATTTGGCAAACTTTGGTTCAGGATGAATAATATTGTGTTGCCTACTTAAGAATACAATGACAAACTTGTGCTATTTTTCCTAAAGGCTTAATTATTTGCGTTGCATGCTGTTCATTTCAACACTCTGAAATGGGCTGCTTATTTGTCTGGGGTGTGCTGTGTTTTCTCATGCTACCATTTTTACCATGTTCATGTTCCCATTTTGTGCCATAAACTTACTAACGCAATGTTGTTAGAAATGATCAACTCACTATTTAGCTCATGAAATTTGCGAAGAGGGTGACTCGGCTCATGACTCAAAGCTACAGTTTTCCTAGAGAGCGGACTCAGCCACGACTCACTCCAAAACAATGAACTCGCGAGCCGATGTAAGATTTAGCTCGAGTCGAACACAAGTCTGTTGTGGCATCGCGGACAGATCAAGCCGGAGCACACCATCCCATCCGGCCCTATATGCTGCATCGCTGTTCCGTATATACGTGTCCTATAACTTTGCAGATGAGGGCCTCTTTTCGAATATGTATGAGCTGCGACGCTGGTGTGACGCGCTCGATTTGTAGGACTGAGCCAGGCTTGCTTTCATTTATCAGAACTAAGACTTCAGCGCCTGTGATTCCTCGCTCAAAGAAGGTGAAAGTCCAGCGGTTGTCAAGGCAAACAAGCGACACCTCACGGGAGATGTTGCACCAACATGACAGGACAAATGTGGCAACCCTCTAGCCATGGGCAGACCAATGCACGATCCACACCAGCCATTACTGTGCCGCACCCAAACGTCATCCCGAACTTCCAATGTTCTATTGTCGTGTGTGCTAGACGATCATGATGAGGTCTTATTAATTGTTTCATGCTTTCATACCGCCCAACATGCTACGCCACCACCAACGTCAACTTTCCCGCGGCAGAGGCAGAAGCGGAGGCAATAGCGGCAGAAGCGGAAGCCGAGCGCAGCCGACAGCCGATTCCTTACCGGTTCTCCAGCTCGAAGGACCACGACCTCGTGACTCGCAGCCAGACCCCTCGGGCCGAAAGATCATGACCTCGACCCGATTGACCTGGCTCGCGGCCAGGTCCCGCGGGTCGAAAGGTCATGCGGCGTGCAGCAGGCTCCCCGCCCCAAAAGCGCCCTCACCTGCAGCAAGCGCGACAGACACCTACAGTTGAAGGGCAGCGGTCCGAGCACGTCGCGCTGGACGCCGCACAGCAGCAGGTTCTTGGAGAGCCGGAGCAACATCAGCAGCGGCACTGATGTCGCGACCACGGCCGCCGCCACCGGCAGTCGCAACGTGGCCGGCAAACCAGCTGGAGCAGAGGCGGAGATTGGCTCAGACTGTGGTCAGCTGGAGTAACGGTCGTGGTTACCATACTGCGGTCAGGTGCAATCGGAACAGTCCTATGCTATTCCGAATGAAAGGGCAGGATGCAGCTGTCCTTCTATAAATTAAGATAAAAAGCCCAAGCAGCTATACTTTCTGAGAGATCATAATAATCGAGAGGGCACTGTTTACGCTATACGATGGCTGTTGAGCCGCTGCTGGGGACATCCCACGCGCACCCACCAAGGGCCCTCACCGTGGAGCACCGTGTCGAAGAAGAGGAAGACACCGCGCCACACGTTTATCACGCCCAGAAAGCCGAACAGCGCGAGTGCATCGTGCACGAAGAGGCCGGGCACGAACGAGAGCGAGCGCATCCACTTGACAGCCGGGAACTGGACGACATAGGCCAGCGTCGTGATGCCGAAGCCCAGGCCCTGGCGGGAAGCACCCGGTGTGTCAGATCACACACGGTCCTGAACACGGGACCGGAGCAACGCAAACCAGACCGGACGTCGGGATCAGCACTCCACGATTCACTGTCACAACGGGGATGTTTGCATGATCCCAAGAATGTCGGTGCCAGGTTGTTGTTGAATGTCGCGTCGCCACGACAGCGATGATGATCCATGAGACGAGGCGAGGCGTACCGGCTCGGAAGCAGCGCACTGCTGACTTAAAGGGGGCGGTATAATGGAGGCTTTATCACCTTCAGTATTATTCGCGGGCTGAACAAGGAAAGGCCACATTTCGGCTCTCAATCACGAGCAAAATTACCTTCTGGGCCCTAGCCTAATGTCACGTCCACCATAGGAACGGCGCGGTGTCAGATGCGAATTGTCTCATCACACAATGCCCGCTTGCATGAACGAGCGTGTCTATTTTAACGTGATAATACATAATTACACTAATGCCAATATACCAAAATGCTTCATTACACTGTATTCGTGCTCGTGAGTATTTCCTTATCCCTCCGGCTGCCTGCCTTTTTAAGCAAGGTACTCCGAGCGTTTTGCATGAGTTTCATTGGGGTGGTGCACTTAAAGGGACTGTCCCACACTTGAAGATATTGGGACAGTATAAATTATGATGGGAAAAGCTCACCTGTAGCTATTATATAATTTTAAGTTTCAAAACCTGCTTTGAATAACACAATCTCACCAGCCCATAAATATGGTCCTTATTATGTCATCTTTTGTTTACGCCATCGGACATTTCTATGACGTCAGAATCGCAGCCAGAGTTGCCGCGCCAGAGTTAATGTTGTGGCAAACGGCGTGACTCACTTTAGTGCTTCTATGCGCCGCAAGATTGCGTTATTGATTTGCACATGCGAATTCAACGACTATATATATATATATATATATATATATATATATATATATATATATATATATATATATATATCCAGGTGACTGGCCAAATGCCTGTGGTAGTTATGGTGAAACGCGTGTCACATTTCAGTATCCGTCCTAAAGAGGTCAGTTTTGCTTTATCCTGATCCTTGGGACACCCCGTTTACCCAAGGCAGGCTACCCGTACCAGCCATCAGTGGGTTTAAATGTCCCCTGGTGAGGGCTCGGTCCGAGCGTCCGGCACTTTTCCCGCGTAGGGTCCCTTTGCGGCCCTGTGATCAGCGAATTGGCCCCCCGGTGCACGTAGTTCTTCCCACCGTTATCCACTCGCCTTCATTCCATGGCCCTGAATGACCATGGCTGGCCGAAAGAGCTTTAATCCAACAACCAACCAACCAACCGCGCTCCAGACGCGCATTCAACAGCGAAATCTAACATTCCGTAAGCTGTTCAGTGCATTTGCGAGGAGCATTATTCATATAGGTAAGACAGTGGTAATAGCCTTATTCCCAAGAGAAAAACCATGAAAATGGAAATATAGATGGATTATATTTCTTCATTATATTTCTATATCTCCATTCTCAAGTTTTTTGCCAAGAAATAAGGCTATTTCTACTGTCAAATCTGACATTCATCCAACTGCCTACTGTCGTTGGAATAAATGGCGCTGCATCACTTGAATGAACGAATGCTTAAGTGACCATGCTTTTCTTTCTCGACCATGAGCTCAAAGCAGACAATGAGATGTGGTGCTCGCGTGGCGTTCCTTTGATGTCATACATGTCCGGGTGTCTTACGGTAGGCGGCGGATCAGAGGCTGCGCAAAGTCACGTGCATCAAGTCAAGCCCAGAAAGCAGATGATTAGAAGCCTTAAAAAAGCCAACGCTGTGAACTGCAGAGATGATTATGAACATGGTTCTCTCAATTCAAACCCCGTACAAAGGTGGAATGCCCCCTTGAATTAGAAAAACTCCTTGTATCCACGACCCACGTAGGCAGCGACACCCGAGTCCGCACCTCACTGGCCCCAAGCTTTTTACCAAAGGGGGTCACAGCGGGATCTTTTTATACCATACAGTGCTTTGTCGCCGGCGCCCTGCGTTGGCTCACGTCCCTCGCCCCCCCCCCCCCCCTCCCCCTCCCACACACACACACACACTGACCAGTCACCAGATGACAGCTATGTATGTGGTCATCCCGGGCGCAAGGCTCTCTCCGGGTGACGAATACCTGGCCTCTGGACTATCAAGCCTCCATCCCATTCCGTCGGACAGCAGTGGGTCCGCGCCTCACCAGTGAGATGGCGAACATCCCACCCCATCAGCCACAGCGGTGGCTCCGTGCCTCACCAGTGAGATGGCGAACGAGACGGCAGGCTGCTGGGGCAGCAGGCACTTATCCATGATACCCCAGGCACCGCGCCACAGGAACGTGCTGATACAGGTGATGACGCAGGCCAGGAAGGCGTCCATGCTGCGCAGGTGGTACTCATCCGCCATCTGTGAACGAGCGTCATGTCAGCGCTGACGAGCCTGTGTTCACCAGCTGCAGATGGACCACCCGATGATACGGCCGTCATGTCAGCGCTGACGAACCTGTGTTCACCGGCTGCAGGTGGACCGCCCGATGATACGGCCGTCATGTCAGCGCTGACAAGCCTGTATTCACCAGCTGCAGGTGGGCCATACGACAACTCCAGCCTGCGCTTAGCAGCGTGTTACGAGCCAAGTTGGGGAGCGAAACACAGCTAATCCGTTGGGATAACATCTGTTTTTGTGACTATTGGTTGGGTCGAGGAAGCTGCACCGATGTGCACTGAACCTTGTAAAAGCTGAAGTTTTAGCGTTTGGCCGTTGGCAAACGCTTGATATGGTAGGTAAGCTGCGATAATCGTGCTCAGCAATGCCCGCCAGCCGAGGCCCCTCTTAGGTTATGCCGTCGATATTTCATAACAAAGAATGCAATTAAAAGCGAAATATTTGTAGCTGTATTGTAAGCAAGGCATCATTTGTATGATTACATAATCACCTACCACCAACAGCAGCCGTTCTGTCAGATGTTTGAAGTTCATGAGACCGTTCTCAAAACCTCTTGGCATGAAACGGTAGCGGTGAAGCGCGCCTGTCGACAGGCCTCTGCTGACTAGATGAATGCACATGAGATGGGTCAAGAAGGAATTAAGCCGACGCGAGGCATCAAGCGGCTCTGTTGTCCGCCACTGCGGCGGAACTAATCCACCCCCGCAGCCCGGCCCCGGCGCGGGGCGAGCTAAGCCACGCCAGGTCGGCACCAGCCAGTCGATAGCTCGCCACGTGCCCGCGGAGCACGGGGCAGGAATGGCTCAGCCACACATGGCGGCCCGCGCAGATGCTATCATTGTCGATACTGCGACGTGCCCGCGGAGAACGGGGCAGGAATGGCTCAGCCACACATGGCGGCCCGCGCAGAGGCTATCACTGTCGATACCGCGACGTGCCCGCGGAGAGCGGGGCAAGAATGGTTCAACCACGCGTGGAAATCCGTGCAGAGTCTATCCTTGTCGATGTCTTGTGTTAACACGGTGCAAAGAACCGTGCCAACTGCATGGACTACAAGCGGGTGCAGGCCTACACACATACGCCTAAACTAAAATCACGACTGATGTCAAAAGAAAGCGGGATTCATGTATCACTACACATCATTATCACCATTCGCACGATTACTCTGGACACAGAAACGCCAGAGCATTGCACGGGGTGCAATACTTCGACCCGACGCAATAAGGTCATATCTCTGTACCTGCCGGCTGTTTTCATACGTTGTTGACATGTTTCAGCTGTTCGCTATGGAATACAATAATTAAGCGCATATACCCAGTCGAACGGGACATCAAATAGCGAAATTACAGTCCCGTTTATCTGTTTTAAAAACAAACAAAATCAAAGGGACATTAGTACTGCACTCCTCCCGTTTATGAACTCCTGAAGTTGGTGGACATTCACTTCCCTCGCCTCTAACGCGTGTCACGCCACTCCGACCAGCCGACCTCCTAACGCTGCTATCGACCTAGCGCACAGCGTGTGCGGGCAATCCGAAGGCGGATATAGCATCTTATCTTGGAGGAAGCTGAGGTTTAAGCAGGGGCAACACAAACCTAGAACGGCAAAATGTCTGCTTCTGCAGCTCCTTCAGGGCATGTCTGAGATGGCCCGCTTGCATTTGCCCCTGCGCAGGACCCTCCCTTTTCCAGAACGCGGACCGGCGCAAGTGTTGCCGAGCTTCGACCGACTAGTCGTCACGTAGTCTGACGAGCGAGGGATCTAAAGCTGCAGCTCATTTGGCATGCATTCACGTGACAAGACGAAACCTGGATTCATCTGTAATTTGCCATCATTTGGGAAAAAGATGTCCCGTTCTTGATTCGAGAAACGTCGGTGAATGGAGGACACACAGAACGAGGGTGTCCAAGAGCGCATAAGGCCGACGCGTGTGGCGTATCTGGCAACGCACGAGCCGCGCGCCGGCTTCTACACAACCTGCCATACACACACGTGGATCCCTCCAGCCTCGCGTCACTGCTTCCTATGTTCTACCTGTAACGCTACATTTCATGTAATTTTTGATCTCTTGACATAGCAGCTAAATCTAGGAAGCTCTCGAGGTCGGCGGGCCCACAGCACGGGAGCGTCATTGCGAGTTGGGGCACGATGGGCAGCTCCCCTGCCGACCGCGTGCTGGCGAGCGGGCCTCCGGACGGCCTTCAGTGCGTGCTGAGAACTTCCCCCTCTGATGTATGAGCCGGGCGCCAGTGGCCCGCCGCTAGCCATGTCAGAACGGCTACTCACGCCGTGATACACGCAATATCACTGACTCGTGCTGAAAAAAGGACCGCATGGAAACCAACGCTCTCCTTCGCAGGATAAGGTATGTGTGTCAGCCATATCCTCCTGTAGAACGGTGTACTGAACTCCCGGCCAGCGTTTTATGTTGTGTTGTTATGTTGTGTTATGTTGCATTCCAAACCGTTGGGGCTATGAAACTTGGCGACTTTACCTGTCAATCGATTACACACAGTCTGTCAAAATCTGAGCCCGTTTTTGGCTGTCTAGGAGCGACTCAAGGAATTGTTTTTGGAGACATGCATGACGAATGACGGGTGGCTCTAGGTTTCTGTCACGTGCTCCGTTTTTTTGTCTCTTTTGAGCCGATGCTTGACTGAACTGAATTATCATATGGTTTGTTAAATCAAGAATGATCAAATTCCGCTGGTGTGCCACACATGTGATCCACCAGGCGCGGATCCAGCAGTTTGGTACTTGTCGTACACATGAGCTTTGCCAGGCAACGCATGGAAAAGTGTAGCGTCTTCCGCGGACGTCATAGTATCCTATAATGACATAGATGCAGGGGGTGCGTTACACCAACAGCAAACCTGCTCACGTAGAGGCAACGCCTTGTGGTTGTGATGGGGGAGCGCGAGCTGCTGAGAGCGTTTTGTGTCCGGCCGGCGCGTAACATGCGTGTGGTTCTCTTGTCTGACCGCTGGCATCAGGTACGCTGACAATATATCCTGCATTTGAATCCAGTAGCAAGTTTGACTCCAAATGTTTTGCCAGGTGACCTCGAGCGCTTATTAACTGTTTTTTTCTTGTCACCCTCTGCTGTTTACCCTCTGCTTTTCATCCCGACGTCCACTACCAGCCGACGTCACTAGCCTGTGTGCTGTTGCATCCTTTCCGGTCCAATGGGCACGGCTTTTAATCTCCGCGGTCTTGTAAGCAGGCAAATGTCAAGGCCTAATAATGTGAAGCTCTACCCAATTTGATCATGCCCAAGTCCTGCACCAATGATTCAAAGCCATTTGCTCAGGATACAATTATCAGTTTTGTGTATTTATTTGTGTTTGTAGCCATCTCCGTACCAAGTAAGCCAATCAGGCTGAGAGCATGTAAAAGCGGCTCATGTTCACTGTACAGCACTCTTTAAGTATGCGTAAATCTATATTCTTCATGGAAAGTCCTATTCAAGGTCTAGTAAAAACGCGATATTACAAAATCTGTTTTGCTCTGTTGTGGTTTTCTTCCTTGGTACGCGGTATTGGCTTAATATGTATATACAGGGACACACTCATGTATATATATATATATATATATATATATATATATATATATATATATATATATATATATATATATATATATACATATGTATATATACATGTGTGTTCATATGCATATGTATACATATGTGTGTATATATATATATATATGCATACCTATATATATATATATATATATATATATATATATATATAATATACATATAAGCTTGTATATATCAAACAAGAGCTAACACTTCGATTGTCAGTTTGAACCCTATGAGAACAAAACCGATCCGCTGGACATTCATATCTCTAAAGGGTCGAATCGCTTCCTCACAGCGAGCAGGTCACCCCCTCCACTTGAACACGGGACTAATGCACATTGTCATAACCTCCCATTATAAACACAACCTGCTTATCGGTTGAACTCCCGCCTGCACTTGGGGTATGCCGGCGCGCGTAGCACTTGGGGCAGGCCAACGCGCGTAGCCCTTGGGGCATGGCAGCGAGTGTAGTACTTGAGGTATGCCAGCGAGCGTAGCACTTGGGCCATGCAATCGTGCGTAGCACTTGGGCCATGCAATCGTGCGTAGGACTCGGGGTAAGCCAGCACTGGTCTGCCGTTCCCTGGCGGCGGCGCACTCACCGTAGAGCCGAGGGGCGACTCGTGGCTGAAGAAGGAGCGGGCCAGGTCGACGTCGACCGAGAGCGGCAGCGCCACGGCCGTCGCCAGGAAGCGCAGCTTGCCGAGCACGAGCAGGCCGGCCGTCGCGAACATGCAGTAGGAGAGCCAGCTGAGGCCCGAGTCGGTGTCCATGAGCAGGAAGATGCCACGCCACAGCGACACCACGCCCAGCCAGAGGAGCAGCAGGACGCCGCGGGCGGCGACGCGCCGCGCCCGGCCGGCGCCGGCGCCGAAACAGGCCAGCTGCAGCCGGTCGCGCAGGAACGTCTGCAGGTAGACGGTCACGGCGCCCAACACGAACGACGTCCAGGCGGAGGGCAGCGTCCGGCCGGGAAACACGGCCGCGTCCATCAGGATCCAGAGCGCCTTCCATGCGCAGGTGACCAGCAGCGTGGCGCCGAAGAAGGCGAGCCCGAAGTCGGCGGCGGCGGTGAGGAGCCGCAGCCGCGGCGCCGGCGACGGCAGCTCCTCAGGCCGGCCCATGCTCCCGCGCCGGCCGCTGGCGAGCCAGTGGCGGCGGCGGCGGCGGCGGAGCGCGGGCCGCGTCGATAGGCGCCTCTCGAGGACGCAGGGGCGCCGAGAGGACCGCCGCGCCCGCCACGTGCGGCCGTCCATCGACCGCGGCGTGGACGCCCGGGGTGCCATCCCCGCCCCCTCCCCACCCACCTCCACGGCGGAACTGCCCTTGTCGGAACGCGGAGAGGGGGGGGGGGTGACCCCGGCCTGACCGGTGGCAACCCGTCCAGTGTATCGGGCGGGGGGGGGGGGGGGCGGGGAATCGCAAACGGGTGGGCGGATACAGAAGGACAACACTAGAGCGACCTTGTATAAACCGTCACGTATGTACCACCTATGGAGGCCAACATTTCTTAAATGCCCGGTCTAGTCAACATCAGGCGGTCTCAGCCACATTCACGCTGGCGTTGTTGTCGCAGTCACTCGCAGGATGTATGCTGTTATGCATATGTGTGCCGCAGTATGTTCCAGGACCACATGAAACAATAGTGGATATCATGAAGGTCAAGCAATCCCGAGGTAAGCAGACCAACCCCGTAAATGTCGGGGTGCTGCCACGCAGTTACAAACCCCGATAAGGGGACTGGCGTACTCGCGCTGACCGGGTCCGCAGTTTCGACATCGGCTGAAATAGGAGCATATTCAGCATGGTGAACTTAAGATAGTTTTAGGTGTCTGCTGGACACGCTGAACGCCCTGATTACCGTGTGGTTGTCACTCTGACAGACGTTCACAACTTTGGCCTTCAAAGGTTACGGGGCCTACAAGTATTGCAATTTGCCTGAAAACACGCTGGCTAGCTGCGCTCGGGCTCCAGGATAGGACTGACCAACGGTCGAAAATGGTCAAGCCACGGCGCTATAAATGTGATTAGATTGTGTGCTACTGCGAAACGCATAAGAAAACAACGCGCACAAAAAAGGGAGGTCAGGTATGTGGCGGCGATGCCAGGGCAATGCCACGATTCCTGTCTGTTTGGGTGGCTATATATAGCTAGGTGAACACGGCGCGTGGATGTGACCTAGTGGGGCCAACAAAACTATACAAGTAAGTTCCATCAGAAGCATCAGATAAAGCGTCTAAAGTCGAACTAGTGACAACCTCAATCACTGACCCTGTTGACCCGTCACATTGACCTCAACATCAGTCTGACTGGTAAACGTGACGGCTATGGGTGACTGAGACACTCACCGAACCAAGTCTGACTCCAGTCTGTTGGGCTGCTTTTAAATTCTAAATGGGCTGCTCTTCCAAATGGAGGAGCTGCTTTTAGGTTGTGGCCTTCAAAAAAAGCATGTACCAATTACTGCGTGACAAGGTAATTCTCGATAAAAAAATAAATGAAAGACCGAATGGAAAAACCCGAAAGAAAAAACTGAACGCAAATAGCTGAAAGGAATAAAAGCTGGGTCGGAAAAGGAGGACACAAAGTCGAATGGGAACAACGTATCAGACATTAAAGTAGAATAACAAAGCTGCATGACATAAATTCGAATGGGATATATTTTATTGGCCTTCAAAGGCCAATGAAAAGCATCCTTTTGGCAATGAAGGTACAGTTATTTGTCGACAGAAATGAAAGTGAAGTCTGAAATGTCGATGGATAGAGTTGACAGACAGAATTCGAACAAAAAAGTGGATGAAAATAGGCAAAATTACGTAGCTCGTTGAGTGGTTTTGCGAGTAGCAGTATGCACGTAGATAAGACAGTAGTAATGGCCTTGTTCCTCGGAGAAAAACCAGGAAAATGGGAATATAGACGCGTAGATATTTCGGCAGCATGCCTTCATCAAAACGAATAGCAGAAGTTGACTTCTGCTAGTCGTTTCGATGAAGGCATGTTGCCGAAATATCAACTCATCTCCATCCCCATTCTCCTGGGTTTTATCCGAGGAATAGGACTATTGCTCTTGCCTCATCTATAAAAAGAAGAAACGTTTAAAAATCGACAGATATAGGTCAGATTGTAAAGCGAAAAAGTTCGAGAAAAAACTGACACTTATTTTGACTTAGCTGCCTTTGATATATTTTGCATTGGCTTTCTTTGTTACCGGCACTTGCGTTTTTGGGCTATTCTTGTTATAACCTATTTTTACTTCGAATTTAATTCTTGTCGACATTTTGTTCGTTGACTTTTCCAGTTCCACTTCAATCCCTGCGAACTTTATTCCTAACAGTGTTTTGCCTTTTGATTTTTCCTATTCGACCTTTATGCTGATGGGCTTCCATTCCTTTCGGTTTTTTGTCCCCCGACTATTCCGTTTCGGCATTTGCCCCTGTCGATTTCCATCCCTTACACTTCTTGTTTATTCAACCTCTTCTAGTTCGAGTCTCATTCCTGGCGGTGCTTATCTCCGTCAACTATTTACCGTTCAACTTTATTCCATTCATGTCTTTTTCTATCTACCTTTGCGATACAGGTAAAATAAGCACGAAACAACTTTCGATGTGCATTGTGCGCAATGCCGAAAATCGTTGAAGGTTGCATACGATTTTTTGTGTAAAAGCGTTTGTCATGGTGCGTACAGAATACGCGGCTAATAACTCATTAATAGTTAATGTCCACATGCCAGGCGTATTTATTGCATTACATCTTTTGCCCGGTACACATTGTCTCGATCACAAGTTATTGTATTGCTTAAGTTATGTTTGAGCATATTTTCCAAACCATGGTATTGGTGAGCAGTCCTAGCACCTCATAATACTAATGCTGAACATAATCAGCTCCATCTAGCATCGATGTGTTCGTAACAATCCTCTGACCACTGAATGTCTGACCCTTAGCTTGATCAGAAGTTCGTGCCGTTTGCTTGAGATGTGACAACACGAGGACTCGGGGATGTGAGCCGGATTAGGCCTGGATTGTATCGGGCTTCATCAGCGGAAGAGCGGCTGAACTCCGAACTACCGCCGCCGGCCACAGGGGCCGTCCATCAGCGCGCCCGCCGGCTGAACCAATCGGCGGTCCGCACTGCGTGTCGGCCGCGTCGCAGGTGCTCGCGATAGATGACCAGGGCGCTCGGCCGGCGGTCCCCGGCCGAGCGGGCAGGACGAGCCGGTCGGGGACGAGGACGAGGGCGAGCGGCCGACGAGCCTCCGCAGGGGGCTGTGTCGTTGCCGTCTGCGCGGTCCGCCTGACGGCAGCCGGGCAGGCGTGACACGCTCCTCGCGTGTCACCGCAGACCATGCTCACCACCACCGCTGGAAGGAGGAGGGGGGGGGGGGGGGCAACGTCTCTGACGCCCTGCGGCGGCGAGTCGTGCCAGCACCCGATGTGGACCGGGCTCCTGTCAGCAAACGGATGTGCGTTCCCGAGCCGGCCTGTCCTGTGCAGTTGAGAAACCCTTCACGACCGGGAGTTATGAATGATTACCCGACGGTATGTACATATTTCTTGACACAGATCGGAAGGCATGTTTGTGCAAGTTTTCAAAATAAAGGTCATTGACATTCTATTCAAAATCCACGTTAAATTTCGAAAGTATCCTGTGCAAAAGGAAATTAATTCCAGCGTTCAAGCCATCGCCCATATGGTCTGGGTTTTGGGGACCGTGAGTCTTAGCATTATCTCTGTTTTGGTTTATTTTGAGGAGAACATCCCCAATGAGATCACACAAGGACATCAAAATGTAAAACAGGGCAGGTTCATTCCGGGTGGTCTGAAGTACTTCGTCACGATCGCGCCGTCCCTCAGCTCCCCGATTTGCTGGGTGAGAGTTCACAGCATATCGATCATCTCCTCAACGTTCTGTCGCATATTGACCTTTACGCTATCTACAGAGCGTCCCAAACGTGACTTGACACCTACTGTGTGCACTTTAGTCCCTGCTGCTGACTGCACTACTGCCGGATACAGCTGCCGTCCGCTGTTGAGCGGTTTCGTTCGCCGTGGACCCGGACCAACGACGGTTGTCGCCGCAGGGTGTAAATGGGTTAACGTGGAGGACGGGTTCCGTGGCCTGTTTTTATTCCGCAAGATGGGGACCGCGTGCAAGGTCACTCCCAGCGAGGCTCCTCGTGCTTAAGTTAATGGATCGATTAAGGGAGGTGTCAATCAGCGGAAAGTTGCGAAGGGTCAGGAGCGCCCATTCAAACTGTGTGTGATGGATAATTTTTTATTTGTAAGCCGATTCGCTGTCTAAAAAAGCGCGCTGACCGCCCCGCTGCAATCCGTAGGGTGGTAAAGATCGTCTCTGGTAGGGCCGAGAGCAAGCGTCGCCAGAACGTGGGGAAAATAGCAGCAAAACTGCCAGGTAAGGATGCGTAGCATTCGAGCCAAGCACACACAAATTTGCAATAGATTATCTGTACCTGCAGCCGCGCAAGAGTACAAAACAGTCCAAAATCAGGAGAAAAACGACGGCGATCAACGTTGCAGTTTCACAAGGTGAACGTCTGGGCCGCTAATGACTTCGCGCGCTTATCTGGGGCGATGAGCCGATTTCGAAGTCCAACACTTGACCAATCGCCAAAACAACAGCATTGGGCCGGGTCACACGGTTGAGTCCATCCTCTTGATGCTTTCAAGCAGCGCGCAAAGCTGATGTTGTGGCTGCAAGCTTTGCTCAGGCGTTCACAGAGCTGCTCATGCCCCCTTCCCCGCCCCCCCCCCCCCCCCAGGGGTAAGCGGTCAACTCAGAATACCACGCGTCTGAGATGTTCAC